CCCCCCCCCCACTCTGTTCCTAACTCCTCCTCTTCTCTGATTCTCATTGAACCCCTGCTCTTACCTTATTGGCTGTCCAGACAGCTGTGGCTGGGGACACCCACTCCCTGGCATGGATCCCAGCGTCGATCCAGATGGCCGGACGCTTGCTTCCACCCGTACTGAACTGCAAGAAAGTTTCAGTGTTAACGCCACACCACACAGTCCTGCCGTGATGCTTGGGATTTTTCCTCCCACTGCCCCCCAGTGTTCCCAGAAAGGTGATGTGCATGTCAATCGATGATAAGCTAACCTCAACTTCTTATAAGAATACCTCGTTCAGACTGTTTCTGATTCACCGAACACACTAACATTACAGTTGTCTTAAAGGCTAGGGTTCTGAGTTGAAAATCCAGGCACGCCACCACTGCATTTCGGGTTCAGCGAAACGGATAAAGATCAGCGCCGGCGAAGCTCACCCAACCCTGAAACATGCTCTTTATTCAGAAAAGCTTCCTGACTTTTACATCGTTTTGTGAGATTTCCCTCCCAAAGAGCACATCTCACATTCACACTTTTTTTACTTGTTGTAATGTAAGCAGTCATCCTTTCATCCCTAGAGGAGCTTCACTCAAGTTCTCTGTCCTACCTTCAGAGCATACATGGGGCGTTTCTCATAGGAGTACCCAATTGGCACCTTGGTGACTAGACGAGGATGGCCAGCGACCAGGCTGTCCATCCAGCTGTAGATCTGTCACAAGGAAGCAAATGCACACACACATTTGGTCGGGGATTGTTTCCACCTGATGTGAGCTCATGCTTAATTAAGCAAACTCTTACCAAGACACACCAGGCACCCACCTCGTCCAGTGTGTGATAAGCCCCAAAATCGAAACTCTTAGCTCTGCTCTCCCTTAATCTGCTGGCCTTCATGTTGGCTCTCTCCTCTTCCAGCAGTTCCTGAAACACACAGAACACTCAGAGCTCCTACGGCCAAGCAGAATTATTCCCACTAATTGGCTTTACTTTACTTCTGTGACATTAAAACAGACTCAGAGAAATCCAGGCGAGGAACATTGTCTTCTGTCTCAGATGACAACAGCACGGGGCTTTATGTCTGAGGTACCTGCACGTCTTTGATCATTACATAGTGAGGGATGTTGTTTGATTCCAGGAAAACTTTGACTGCCGGCAGGCTGGCGAAAGGAACTCGGACGTCAATGGGCAGATCAGAGGAGACGGGAGAAAGCCAGAAGTCCAGCTGGGAGAATGATCACAAGAGACAGGACCGAGTGAGAATCCATTGTGCACGACGCTCTGACTGGGGTGACTTCTGTCCCTCTTCAGGGCTGGGCAAACGGCTCAACGTGGCATCTGAGCTTCTCTTTATCTCTGACAAAAGGACACTGTCTCTCACTCCAGGAGCTCTTGGGCTTTTCTCCATAAAAAGATAACTTTTTTTTTGTCAAATGGCGTTCAAAGCCCGGCCTCACGTCTCATTGCGTTCATCTTTTCCCGCATATTCTATTTTGCCGGTGGCTTTTGGGCAGATAGAGGGCCGGCAGATGTAGATTAAACTGGAGAAGAGTTCAAATACTGTACAAATTGAGCAATTCACTGGCTGAATGAGAGCCCCGTTTTTGGTAAATCTACTATTTTGCAGTTGTAGACAGTGATTTCAACGGTATTTCAGTGCTATTGTGCAACAAAGTGTTTCCTGTAACAAAAAATAAGGATGTTAAAAGTTTTGTTTCTGGTTCAACGTCTATATTGTTTTGGTTGCACAATGTTGTGTTGCAGTGTGTGGAAAATGACTCCTGGCATGTTCTCCTCTACCTCAATGCTTTCCTGCTTCTCCAGGGCCTGTAGAAGGTGAATATGCTCCTCCGACTCTGCATTGATTCTGAGTACTTGGTCTCTAAAAAGTGGGGAAGAATAACAACTATATAACTGTTATAACTATATAAATTAAACAGCTTTTAATTTTTAGACCACTACTGAATTATTGTCATGGACCTGAAAGTCAAGACGCAGTAATTAACACCCATAAGGTAACGTAAATCTGCAGTTACTTGTACAGCTGATGAGCGTGTTCTTCAATTAAATTTAGAAATTTTCCCTAAATTAACCTCGTGAGAGTGATGTAACGCAGACAGTCATTTTAGACTAGCTTGCATGTAGGATAAGCTTTGGAAGTCATCCAAAGAACATCCTATTTGTCAGATTCACATTTTAATCCACGAAATGCGCACAGCATTCACTGTTCCACTGTCTCCCTCTAGTGGTCAATTTTCAAAATATACTAACTTCGTGGAAAACCGCAAAAAAAAAAAAATGTCATTTTTAAATATCAAGTATAGTGCAATTTGTGTATTAGTAAACAGAATACGTTTAAATAAGTTTCAGCAATTCAGATTTCAATTCAGAATTTTAATTGCTAATACTAATACAGTATTATTGTACACACAAATCTAAGAAGTGTGTAAAATCTAATATTACAGTACTATTTCACACATTTGCAACATTAATGTATAAATTCTAGGAAGATTTAATTCTCTCTGTCATCATGAGTAATTGTAGCTTTCCAGCAAACACACACTCGGGGTATCAGAGGTGGGTACAACTGACACTCAAGTTCAGAGAGTAAAAGTCCAGACCATGGTTTTGTTTCAACCAAACAGTTGAGTATTCTGTGACTGTGACTGTTTATGCTCAGTGGGTTGGCTGAAACAGAATCTTGGGGAACAAAATCTATGGACCTGAACTACTCACTTCTGCACAGAATTCCATTAGCCGACTCACCCCGCAAACAGCTTCGCGCTCTGGGCCACAATGAAGAAGGCGGCGATGACCAGGAGTCCCTTCATGGTCTGGGATCAGCAGTCACTTCCAAGGGATGCGAACTTTCTGAGAGCGATGACCTTTATACTGACACCAACATGTGCTGTGTTCCCAGGGAAGAGCGGAAACCAGTATATTTTTCCAGCATAAATAGAAATAATGTCAAGGACAAGTTTGCCGATAACCCTTCAGCCTTGTTCTTTCTCCACTCAGTTGCTGATTTTGTATTTTTTCCCCAAGCCATACCTATAAATTTGACATGCTATACACAGAATATCTATAAGTACCTTTCTATATACATTCCTGGGCAAAAAAATGGACCAAACCCCAAATGGCTAAATATTAAGCTTTACAACAACAAATGTCCTAACGACAAATCATTTGTCAGATAATTAGCAAGAACAAAAATAATGCACTCCCCAGGCCTGTGCCCCCATTTGCTCGCCACTGTTCCCTGCTGCAGTGAACTGTTAGTGGGAGAAAAGCTGGAACAAGGGAAATTCACTTACATGGCCTTCTTGGATGCAAAGATAAAATCATGAGAAGATGTTCGGGTTTACAAAATCTTCCGAAATATCTTCCGGTTACTTGCTGTTGAGACCATTAAAAGCTTAACATTTTGCACTTTTGTGCTCACTGTTCACATTCAGCACATCACATTGCCACAGATACCGTTTGCAAGACTGCAGCTTTCACTAAAGGATGGATCATAAAGGATTCCCAGTGATTCTGCCGAGACCGAATACAACACTGACACGGAGTTAAGTGTTTTATATGCATTCATTCTATGGGTCTACAGTGGACGCCACCTCAATGTTACTTCAGTTCCCTTCGGTTGCAACATCCAGAAGTTTCACCAACATCTCAATTTCCTCAGATGCCTAAAGGGCTCCTGCAGCTTCGTCCTGCAGCCCCAAAGACATGCAGTTAGGCTGATTAGCATGGTCTACATTGCCTAAAGGCTCTGACTGTGTGTGTACATGCGCCTTGCAACAGACTCATATCCCACTTGAAACTGCAAAAGTCTCTTCTAGAGCGATTATCATTTCGATCATTACAAAAGACCCAAAAGAGGAACCTGCCTTTAAGAGCAAAAAAACATCATCTAGCATAAGCAAACTACTGTATACTGGACAGTAACAGATAGTAGAATTTCATGCCCCCTGAAAATGATCGGCAAGTGGCGTTTCCATTGTGTACAAGTTCACTGAACAATGCTTCAGGACCTGGATGGCGCACATCTCACCTGCGCACATCTCACCTGCGGGCAGCTCTGTGCCCATGTCTACATGGTTCTGGGTTCATACCCGATGGCAGAGTGACCTTATCGCTGTGTCGCCCTTGAGCAAGGCCCTTAACGCCAATTGGCCCAGGGATTGGCTGACTCTGCTCTCTGATGTTCAGCTGCATACTGCGTTGGATAAAAGCAGCCTTTAAATAAATAAATGCAACTGTGTGAGAGCTTTGCAAAATTAGTTCCATTAAAATAACTGTCCCTGGTGCTAAAACACTAGCAGAGCAGAAAAGTCAAAGCATAAATCTATCTGTAAACTCCCGGCTCACGCAGGTAAATCCTTTACAATTTTCCTTTATAATGCAGTCCATCTATGTCCCAAGCCAGCCATTTTTCACATAGGATCATATTACAGGGGATGTAACATTTAAAAATGGTTTGACTATTTTTACAGCATTTAAGTCCCATGACAATGCCTTTAAAGGTGTTTTGTATTTTTGAAAAGTCATGCTGTGTGTATGGGATATAAGGAGCATAACGGATTTGGGCACGACGTATGATCCCCAAATTTAGCTGCACTTGTAGAGGTTCGACATTGGTTCAACACCGCTGCTACCCACATGCCTGCATCGGAAGATGGGGGTTAATTTTGAAAATGACACGACTGACTGATTTGGCAAAGCCGTCAATCTCGTCCACGTACGAGTGGGATAAAATCACAAGCCAAGTGTCGCTCTTGTGAAGTGGACAGCAGGAGATGCGCATGCGATTAACACGCGTTTTAGCTGCCTGGGTGTTCACATCGATTTTAAGTTACAACGCTGGGACCGCTCGCATAAGTAAACTAACAGCGCCCCCTGGGGGTTTCGCAGAGAACCAACACGACGAGGATAAAAAAAAAGTGACTAGCGTGACTTAAAATGAAGTCAACGCGCAAATTCTCATAGGTGGAAGCAGCCACTGTGTACACGTTCGCTGGCATTTATCCATAATGCATTTCAAGCCATGTTCAAAAGGCCCTTATTTCAATACACTGCCACGAAAACCATTCAAAAGTATTTTTCGTTATAAGTAAGGGCAAGTGCTACAAGTATTTAATGGATTTTTTGGCAAAAAAAAAATAATAATGGATTTTTAACAGCTTTCAGCATGAGGGCATTGACTTTGAGTTGTTTTTGTTCAACAGGTTCATTGTAAATATTAAAATATATTTGATTTCCACTTCTACTGAAGTATATTTTTAGATCCCGCTCATCTCACGCTATACAGAAATTTTCCCCGGCAGGTGAAGTGGAGGGAGAGATTTGGGAACAGGAAGCAAAAGGTCTCAACTTCTAAACTTACCCAGGCGTGCTTCATGAGGCAATCGACGAGATTTGGGCTAACGGTTCGATACACTAAACATTTTGATTGACACTGGCCGACATACATACACTGTTAATGTCCTGTCTGGTGTGGATTTGCCAGTCAGCCACAAATGGACAGCAGCCTAAACAGCAAACAACCGTCTCTACAATGTGCTGCAGATTTAAGTTTGTGTACTGAGCCCCAGCATATGTAATGTTACATATTAGATGCGTTCATAGGTTTACTGCTTTATTCTAATAGACATAATTTCATGTTACGTAAGATTTAGATGAAATCGTTAGCTTTGCTGTAACAATATGAATTAGCCTGAGATGAAAAGTAGGTTAACAACAGCATCCAACATAGGCTTGGTATAGATATTAAGTCTACTTACACCGCTTGCTATTTGAAAGAACACTATGATATGTTTTTGGTTTATTCCAATTTGTTTTTCTGTGTTGCATACCGCTTTACTCTGTGTGAGAAAAACTGCATCCACCACAAATTGCCCAGGGCCCAAAACCCGCATGGGTGAAACATAAACACAATGCATAAATTCTGCAAATACTGATATACAGTGTAGATGTTTTTCAAAAATGTTTTAGAAAGTGCCATCAGTGTTCGAGTTACTTTTCCTTCGTTAAATCGGTAGGTCATCGTGGAAATGGAAAATCTTAAAGCTATGTATAGACTAATAGGAGTGCGTGCGTTTTACTGTATACCTACAGTACAAAGGGGATAAAGGGAAACAGTAGGTGTAGCACAGGGATCTCGCGCGCGCCTGTGAGGGGACTCCCACCTGCAGCAACTACGTCCTATGAGTAGTTCGTGATGGTCGACAGTTTGATGAGTTCAAACATTTAGCAATCCAACCCAATTTATAAATGCCACACTTATTTAAGTTTTTTTCCCTTCCAAAGTGGGTGGAACGGAGCAGAGTCCCCCGCCATCTGCGCCCCTGGTCCCAAGGACTTAATTCACTTTGCAACATTTAAAGCATCATGAAATATGCTCAATATTTTAATTATGTAAATGAATGTTCTATTGTGGCGTTTCATAAACAAAACCGTGGAAAATCACCCCGTTCTGAGCTCTGCAGCCCATGTATATAGCGTAGATTACAGACTACGACTAGGAATGTGAACAGTTCGACTTTGCATTCGACTCCTTTCCATCGAATATCACCTATTAAAACACCAGAGGATGCTTCATAGCAAAACCCATGGGTCGTGGGAATGTGGTTTAGGGAAATAAAATCCAGTTCTTCTGCAACCCGGGGGAACCAAATCTTAAACTACCGAAACGGAGCAATTCATTTAAGGAGCTTCCCCCCCCTTCCAGTCTAATACACTAGACAGACAGGTGTGCTGAATTTGCCCGTAAGAAAGGCGGACTCACCTGACATTCCGCTCCCGTAGCGCCGGGGGTGGCTTCTCGCCGAGGCCGTCCTGCAGTGTGACCACGCCGCAGAGATACTCGGCCACTTGTGTATGACAAACTTACCGCCGCAAGAACATGTTTCAGTTGCTAACTGGATATTACGCAAGTGTCAGTTTATTTTCCATCGCAGGACAGTGACGAAATTAGTTGTTTGTGGACGTTTTATTTCTATAACTGCAAGGCAAATGTACCAACTCGGTAACCCAGTTAGTTTCTTACGTCACTTGTAAACAATGAAATAGTTTATATAAATGAGCTATATGTATGATGTTTTTACATGTTTTATAGTGGAGAAGGTTGATTTTAAACAAAAAAAATACAGCTTTAATTACTAATATTTGCGAGTGGCAACGCAGGCATATGCGCAAAAAATACCCAAAGAATACGTGACGTACTAGATACAGCTCGTAGACATTTAACAGGAGCACGAAAAGCAGCGGAATGGCAAAATCTAAATTATTGCAGGGTTAACTGTGCACTGAAATGGCTTTTAAGGGTTTACAAAGGTCTCCATCGAGTATCAAGTTCACGGAAGCTGGCATCGATGCTTTCGTGTGATGACTTAAGTGACTATCAGTGCTAATGCATGTCTGCACACCGAGACAACACACGCGCGGCAGGTCTGCACTGGTCCATCAGTCTCCTTTAACCTATCAGGAGAGACGTTTTAAAAATCAGTCTGTGTGTGTCGGTAATGGTTTACCAAAAGGTGCTTTGTATTTTACATGTGTGAGAGAAAAATTGACTAGACGGATATTTTTGTAAACAGCTTCGGAATGTATTTTTATATACCAATGCAAGAGTGCCCAAGAATGTAAGCTGAAGAGAAGTAAGAGTTAACCTTAGTGTGACAATTGTGCTAAAACTTTGTGCTCGTTAGAATTCGCAGAAATGCAGGCTAGAGAACAGAGGTGTGAGTTAGGGTCGCGTTTAACAGGAAAGCATATATGTTAGAGTGCATGTGCACCACCCCAGCTGGTTCGATCTGGTTCGGGGAGGGGGTGCGAATTATAAAAGGTATGTTAACCAAAAGTTCTTCTAATATAACTATGGAACTAACAGTGAAGTGGCTGCTCCCTGAAGTCAGAAAATAAAACGTCATACTCTGAAACACTGACTGTGTCATAAATTTCTACCACACATGTACATGAAAGAATCATACATTTAAATAGGCAACAGGAAGTCTACAGAGAGATGTTAGCTGTCACTGACATTAACATTTTAGAAAAAAAAATCTAATTTAAAAACATAGGTTCGCACTCAGAAGCGTAGCCATACATGGTGCATAAGGTGCGTATGCATCCACCGTCACGAAAATGTAAATTTGTGAAATTCAGAAAATGTTAAGAACTGTGTTCCCCATCGTCGTGAAATCGCATCCTGCGCTCATGATTAGCACTGCGGTTTCTTATTGCTACAGTTGATAGCAGATACACGAAGACAGCTCAATTTTAAATGTCATCGTGACAATGGGTTGTTTTGCATTAGTTAGGTGATTAGAGCAGCCTGTAAAATACATGAGAACAGCTGGTTCAGTTAGCTGTGTCCGCGAAACAGTAATGACTGGTTATCACTGTCATATGTCGCGCGCAGTAACTCACAAAGTCCTTCCATGCTGTAACGGAGTTACAGCAAACGACAATGATCAGCAATCAATCGTTGCTGTTTCGCGCACTCGGGTGACAACTAATCATTCCCATGTACCGTACGCAATTAAAAATCGCATAGCAAATAGACCATCAGTTTACTGTTTTCATTTTCAACATCATTCTGAAAGTTCAGTTTTCTGCGATTAAAAATAAAATCACTGTTGTCACAATTAATTAGCTAAATTGTCTGCGGTTATGCACAATCATTTAAAATATATACAGTTTACTGTTAAAAACCTTTTAAGAAACACGAAATAGGCGGAGCCGCGCCGCGATTGGGCGCACCGGGAACCGGGAGGCGAAAGGCCGGATAGGTGCTGCGCTCCGCTGGCACGCAGTTCATGATTTTGCCAAAAGCTTCAGGTGAGAAGCCACGAACACGTCGGTCTAATTGACAACAGCGTTCTTACTGTATCATGTGATAATAAGCTTTTTAAAATAGCATTAAAAGATTGGCAGCGTTGATACATTCTTATGCAGTGTAAGGTCCTTTCCACAAGACATTCTGTGTAACAAACATAACCGAGGTGGCAGTTAGACAGGGTGTGATACATGTCGTATGGCATGAGATCTGATAAATTACTCTTGGCAGGGTTGTTGTTTTTTTTGGTTAACGGCTTTAACGTCTCAGTAAACAAAAAATCCATACAACTGAAACACTGCGTGTCAATAATAATAATAAAAATAAAAGATAAGGGAAAAAAAACATGAGTTGTGCGGTGAGTGCACACAGGTATTGGCACCCGACCACCTGCAGCCGAAGATCTGACCCCCACACCAAGCGGCCGAACAGTCACTTTTACAGCCGCCTCAGACGCGTGACCCTCCGCCGAACGCTGAGCAGGTCGCGCTTACAAATCGCGCGGAACCACCCCGCGGCGCCTGATGACGTAGGTGACGGGCACGAACGCCGACGCCCGGTCGTTTCGCAACGTTTCAGCTCATTGACCAATAAGGCCAGCGCGGCGGAAACAGGACGGAGCCTCCGTCGTTAACAGCAGATGCCGTTACACCTGTCAGCTCGGGCTCTGTTTCATTAAATAGTGCCAGAATGGGAAACCACCGTTTAGTCCTGCGGCCGTAAATAAAGAAAACAGTGGCTAAAAACAGAAAAATTAAGCTTTTGGCAAAAAAAAAATATTATTAAAGGAAAGGGTGAAATAAATAGGATGTCTCAGGCTGGCCAAGCGGTCCAGCAGTGCCCCACGGTGGTCAGGGCAGCGGGGAGAGAGCTTTGTCTGAAGCATATTCAGCCGGTTCCAGGGTACAGTCCTCCCTGCTGACCGGGTCGATCAGCCCGCCCACGTCCCCATCTTCCTCATCATCCTCATCCTCTTCCTCCTCGTCGTCATCCTCCTCTTCCTCCTCCTGCAGGGTCTTGCCAGGCGTCTTGGGGCCCTTGCAGATCTTGAGGTGTCGGGTCAGGTGGTACTTGGTGAGGAAGGCCTTGTTGCACTTCTCGCAGATGTAGTCGCGGCGACCCTCGTGGGAGTTCAGGTGCTTCTTCAAGTGGTTGGACTTCCAGAAGAGCTTGTCGCACTTGGGGCAGCGGATCTGTCTTTCTCTGTGGGGGGTGGGGGGGGATACATCACAGAAACACAGTTTGGACAAGAACCGATTGGAATCGGCAGCAAGATTAATAACTACGACCGGCAGACGTCAACGCTGACGTAAACCGACCACGTAGCAGATACAGCCCTAAACATGACGACATCAAGGCGCGTCCTCGGTGCAGCCTTACTGCGTATGGGTGAGCACGTGCTGCTTCAGGTCCTGCCTCCTCATGAACATCCGGTCACAGTGGTCACATTTGAGGTTCTTGGCTCCCGTGTGAATCACCATGTGAGACGCCAGGTGGGCTTTCTGGGTGAACGACTTCTCGCACATGCTGCACCGGTAATTCTTCTGCCCTGAGGGGTGGGGTCGGCAGCGGGCGGCTCAGATTATTTGCCATCTATTACCAGACACGACAGGCCGATACAGTATCATCACCAGAACTTCCACTGTTAGTCGCAATGATCCTTGCAAGGATTCTGTCCGTGTGCCTAGAACGAGCCACAGCCAGAATAATGGCCACGATCCTGGGCTACCGACCTTGAATTTGTGATTTTGCTAAAAAGACTCTGATTTTACTGACATATTTTATATCAGCCTACTATTTTTACCTTTAAAAAGCTTTAAAATGGATTTAAGGACTGGCTGAATTTAATACATTTTTTTTAAAGACTTTCCCTAAGTTTACAAAGAGTTGGCAACTCTGAGGCTATGAGACCAGCACTTGAGTTGAAGTCACCGCTCGCAGGAAGTGGACCAAGGCTCTGCGCCCCTACCTGTGTGGATCTTGAGGTGGGTGCGCAGGTTGCTGGGGTCGCTGAAGGCCTTGCTGCAGTACTCGCATTTGTGTGGCTTCATGCCCACATGGCCCATGTAGTGAACGTTCAGCTTGGTGGAGGAGGTGAACGCCCGTGAGCATATGCTGCACTTGTACTTCCTCTCTCGTGCGTGGCCCGGCCACGAGGACCCGGAGCCGGATCCGGTCAGCTTGCCCTCTTGGTGGCCGTGGTGCGCGGGGTGGTTCTGGCAGGGGCTGTGGCCGTGCTCCTGATCGTGGGCGTGGTCCCCGAGGTGGGACTTGAGCTCTCCGAAGGAGCCGCAGTCCTTGTCACAGTGACAGAGTTGACCGCCCGGAACTTCGGGAACGCCTGTCGCAAAAAAAATCACACAATGACACACAGCAGATGTAGATGTGGAACAGATGTAGATTACGCAAACATCCAATAATCCAAATCTGTAGACCATATTTTCACGATAAACCTCAACAAGATGTACTGCTTCCCAAAATAAATGGATCCTGTATCACATCAAAAAAAATAAATAAATCCAGCTCATCATGAATTACTTTCGTCGTTGTTCAATGGTGCCCTCTATTGTTCTAAAAATATAAGCGCTTATAACCTGGAAAGAGGGCCCAAGCAAGGGGTCGCTCTCGTCTCACAATAGCGGTGTGCTTTCCCGCTAGACCCTCAGCAGTAGAGCGTGGCACGGGACAAATTTTCATTTCTGAATTTCTGAATGCGGGAGAAAGCAGCAAGTGACTGATAATGTCTGGGGGAGCAGGAGAACAAAAGTGACTGGCAGGATCCCACAAAAAGAATTTAAATAAATATTGCTCAAATATGCTTTTTGTTATTTAATCAAATTGTTATTTATGTTCGTAAGTGAATAGAAAGTTACGTTAAAAATTTTAACCGAATAAAACTAAAAAAAAAAAAAAAAAGGCTAATTTAGTTTTGACATAGCCAACCTATCCCAGGACTTCCATAGGGACATTAGCTCGCTCCCATTTCGAATATCACTTGTCACTCTCTTGGGCAGCCGGCTAATGACGGCAGAGGCAGGACGAAAATCTTTAACACTTCAGGATGAAAGTGCCTGCTTGCTTCAATGTGTATGCAACGTCTAGATGAGCGGATGTCTCCTATCAGCTCAAAACCAAATATCATCCACAAGCTGCACAAAGAGTGGTGAAAGAGACGGCTGATAACTGGTGGTTTCACGTTACAGTTGGAGATGCTGACCATGAGCTCCTGCCTAAAAGGGCAGGTTTCCATGAGTTCCAGGAATGAGAGGATTTAGGTACCATGGATAGCAGCCGTTGGATTCAGAGATCAAGGACCATCTAAACCCCTATTATTCAAATCACGGTCCTCGAGGTCCGAGCCCTGCTGGTTTTCCAGCCTTCCTTTCCCTGTGAGCCAGGTGTGAAGCCTCTGACCAATCAGAATCAGTAATTATTAAACTAACTACCTGGGAGAACTGAAAACAAGGCCTGGATTTGGTATCGAGGTCCAGATTTGAAAAGCCCTGATCTAAACGTTAAGCTGGACACACCTGAAATACAAGGACCCCATAATATTCTCCAGTGGTGGAATAAGCACAGTGACGAGTTTGCAGCTTTAACCCAACTAGTGCACATGTCCTCTGAGTCCCTGCCTCCAGTGCACTTGCAGGAAAACACCTCCGGCACTGGCAGCCGTATCCTGAAGCGGAGGCGCGGTGCTCTGACGCCGTCGCCAGTGGACCATACCCTCTCCCTACATGGATATTATCAGGAAACGTCTTTAGCAGGCTTGTCCATATACCGTTACTGCAAATTTTGTTGTGGGCGAAATGCGTTTCACTAAGTGACGGTTATGTAAAAAACGTTGCCCGTCTTAACCGTGAAAAAGGTAGCTTATTTGTTGAGGCCACAGGTTTGTCTTTATGCTTCAGATAAACAGTCAAACAAAACACATTTTTCCTTCAAAGCAGGCGGGGGCAGAACCAAATATGATAAGCTTCTGCAGAAACAGGACAGAATTTTGCGGACGGGAGAGGGACTTAAAATTACACCCTGCGCAGACGTCTACCTCGCTTTAAATAGAGAAATGTAACACTGCACTTCACGTATTTGCCGCAATTGAATAATATATTATATTATACATACGAAGATATACCCCTGTCCTTATTATTCTTGTTGGTTTATTTTGTTAGAAATTTTAGATCCTTTTTTTTGGTACTGAGAATCTGCCGAAAATGATTCTTTATACAGGTAAACTGGGAGGCTTCTTTTCATATATAACGTCTTGCTTTCCTTTGAGACATACAGTATATAGACTATAGGGACAAAAGTATTGGAACACACCTCTCAATCACTGAATTCAGGTATTTCATTCAGACCCTTTGCCACAGGTGTGTAAAATGAAGCACCTAGCCATACAGTCAGGTTTACGAACATTTGTGAATTCATGAGTGGTACCTTTGCAATACGTCAGTTCGTGAAATCATCTGTAAGTGGTAAAATTGCAAAGTGGAAACATTTAGGAACAACGGAAACTTAGCTACAAAGTGGCGGACCACATAAAGTAACAGAGCGGGGCAAACTTCCTCTGCCATTAACCCCAGCATGAAAACTGTGCACCAGCTTCCATGGCCGAGCAGCTGCATGCAAGCCTCACATCACCAAGCTCAATGCCATGCGTCACAGGGAGGGGTGCAAAGCAGAGCTGCCATGATAACTCGATTACCAAGTCTAACTTTAGACTAATTTTATTTACTTTTTTTTTTCCTTTTCATTGATAATCTTGAAAAGGAATCATCATTAAAATAAAGCTTACCAAATTTCGTTGTCCAGTGAGTTAAAAAAAAAAAATAAAAAAAAAAATAGCACAACTTTTTGAAGTATGAACCCAGCAGACTACTGTGGTCCCTGAGATGTGACAGTTGGACACACATCGTGCGAGCCTGTCAGTGTGGCGGGTTGTGGTGTCGTCGCACACCGCCGCTGTGTGTGTGTGCGTGTGTGTGTGTGTGTGTGGAGATTGCATGTTCGCCCTTGCGTGGTGACTTATCTGCAGATCCTCCCGTTTCCTTCCACTGTCCAAAAACATGCAACCTAAATGAACCGCTTCAGCTGTATGTGTCACTGAGTGTGAATCCTGCAGTGGTTGGTTGATTCCTGCCTCGCACCAATTATATAAGGTTATATATAAATGATTATTCAATTAATCATCAGATTAATCGATAGATTACTTGATTTTTTGTATAAATGGCCAGGTGTTCCAATACCTTCGTCCATATAGTATATGTCGGGTGCCTCTACGACATTTCAGGGCCCAACAAACACATATGACTATTGTGTTGAGGATGGGATTCAAAATGCCGACCTTCTGATCACAGGCACAGAGACCCAACCTGCTGAGCCAGACGCCAGTCGTTGAGTAAGGTCATCACCGCTCACCTAGATGTCTGCAATAGTCCCGACTGTAGTAGTATACAAGCTCCTGGTCGGGCATGATCTCCCTGGATGAGAAGAAATAAAGCTTCCCATTGTCAGGATAGGCCACCAGGTTCTGCTCCTCCTCCGAACTGGATGCAAGCGACACAGAGAATTAGAGGTAGCAGCGTTAGCACAGGGCAGCCTTTACAGGTCATCACCATCCACGTTTCTACTCCATAGCACCGCTAGAGACACATACCTCGCCTTACGAACAAACATCATCCAGTTGCAAACATTCTCATCTGTAGTCAGAATGTAGAACTCCAGTACATTGTTGTGGAACATCTATGACAGAGAACATATAGAAAATTCTTCACAACAAAAGAACAATACAAAAATTCTGTTTTTATTGTAATCTTTGCAATTCATGTAGAGGGTGTAATCAACTTTAACCTATTCCATTGCTGCCATCTGGTGGTGTAAATCGGGATGACCTCACTGATCCTATCCTGAGCTTCTCACCTTCCACACTTGAGGATTGTTCTTGTCCGACCAGTCCGTCAGCTCCATGGTGCTACAGTGCTGACCAACTAAGGGCCCGAAGCAGGTCCGAATCGGTATGACCTCTCGTGCAAAAACACCTGCATGTGAGTAAAGGGAACGTGACGACAAGCACCGGCAGAGCAAGCACGATGACTGTGAGCCGGCATGATGCCGTCAGAGATGAGCAGGCAGTGAACAAAACAACTACAAATTAAACACACAAATACAGGCAGTTCTCCACTGACGTAAGCAATCCATTCCACAGTCAAATTTTGCGCAAGTCAGATTTAACTTCCAATATCATTCAAGACACCTGCCAAAAAAGCACATAAGCCAAAATATACTAATATGTAATAAAGAACACATGTTAAATAAATGAAAAGATAAAATGTAAAATTTACTCACAGGCGTATGTTGCCTTTTTGACAAAGTATCGTAAATATTTTTCGCGTAATTCCGCATTTACAGACAGTGCCCAGGTTACGAATGAGATCCATTCCCTAAGTCTGTCTTTAAGTCGAATTTGCAGGACAGTCAGAAGAGCAACAAAAGGTTCTTATTTATCATCAGATAGTCAAATATTTGTTTTATATTGTTGATTTGTATATAGTATATGCTTTACCTTTCTATGCATATAAAACACTTTAGAAACACTTCTAAATACACAAATCATCATAAACATAATAATACAGTAATAAAAGTAACTACAAACAGTTCTGTACTGTACATCAAGCTGACAAACAGCTAAAGCCGTACGATGTTATCACAAGTCTCACAAAGTAGTGTGTGCGTTTGTTATTACGAACTATTGTATTTCACTCACATTTTTAATACAATATACTTCATGGAAGTACTTTCCTAAGTACGAGTCAACGTTCTTAACCCAGGAACTGCCTGTACTTAAGTTGGTTTTGCGCAAGTTGAAAGCTGCCTGTACAAACTGTACAGTATGTGTAGTGAAAATGTGAGCAATTATATCACCCTTAACTGTGAAGTTCCGAGTTATTTCAGAAAAACAAATAGGACCCCCCCCCCCTGAATTATTATATCACCCTTAACTGTGAAGTTCCGAGTTATTTCAGAAAAACAAATAGGACCCCCCCCCCCTGAATTTCTCCCTGAAAAGTCAGTAAGTGGCTACATGACAGAGGTCATACCTAGGGGTTCATCAGCCACAGAGACTCTGAGGCACAGCGGACGGGGCAGGGAGAGGCGAGCGCGGCTTTCGATGGGAGTGTCTGGGACGAAGGTAACTGGGCCGTGTTCTGGACAGTCAGAGGGGTACGAGCGATCGCATAGTGTGCACCCTGCAAGTATACAGAGGACAGCACAGTCAGAGAGACAGGGTACCCAAACATCATCAACACCCCATGGTACCCGGTACTATACTGTCAACAACACCCCATGGTACCCGGTACTATACAGTCATCAACACCCCATGGTACCCAGTACTATACTGTCAACAACACCCCATGGTACCCGGTACTATACAGTCATCAATACCCCATTAGTAAACAGTGGACAGCAGAGTCATAAACAGGGTACCCGGTACTAAACAGTCATCAACACTATGGCTGCATGATATCACATCACAATTTTATCGCGATTCTATGGGACATGCGCAATAATCACCAGGGCTTTAGGTAACGGGTGAAACATTTCTCCAGATGGCGGTTTTTCGGTACTGTACAGATATTTACTTACGCCTGCAATTTGGTAAGCTGATGAGTAACAAATCTATGTAAAACTTTAATAAGATGTGCATTGTGACGTCGAAAAGTTAGTAATCTATAGAAATTTGGTGCATCCTTATGTTTATTAAATTCACTTAGCAGAGCACACCACACGCTACTGATTCGCTAAACCATGGAGATGATAAGCACTGAAGTGGAGGTGAAGAAAGGGACAGCTCAAGAGCCACAGCATCTTTTAGAGGAGGAGATATTGTGGGTAAACAAGGTAAAAAGACATCAGGGTGTGACGTGACACAATGTCACAATACGGCTCTCATTAATATTCTCGGCATACTACTAACCTGCTTACCAAATTGTGGGTGTAAGTAAACATCCACCTAATACCGAAACGCTGACGCCGAGACAAATGTTTCGCCCCTTATCTAAAAGAGATTATTGCACATGCGCCATATCCTTATGATGTGATATCATGCAGCCCTAATCAACACCCCGTCAGTAAACACGGGAGAAGCCTCTCGCTGTGACCTGCGGGAAGGTGGAGTTGGACAGTGGGACACGTCGTTGCATGTGGTTGTTTTGCTGCTAGTCATACATTTCCATAGGACTTAAAATGACTGTTCAGTCATTTGGGTTTCCAACTCCATGGTGGCCAGTTATTAGCTAGGCAGCAACACCACTGTGGTACCATCCATATCTTGTTTTATCACAGTTGATAATCTCATGAACTGCATGTCTATTACTTTTGCATGCATCTTATGTTATTAGAAAGGAACACGCACCTTGAGAGTAAAAGTAAGCCTTTATATGAGAAACCAAGCACCACAAAGTGCTTCTTAAATAAACAGCATGATTGACAGACTCGTGAGGTGAGGTACGGTAGACCAGGTTGGATGTGGGTTCAGGTTAGATGTCCAACCGCACCTTCCCACAGGTCTCGGTGAGACATACTCAAAACCCGGGACAGCACAATCAGAGACACGGACCCAGTACTAAACAGTCATCCACAGTATTGGATTACAGTACAGAATTATTTATGGAACACATACTTTTAGAAGACTTACACATCAAAAGGTCTTCTTCAGCTTCATCAACTAGATGCTTCAACATTAAAGTCTTGGTTCCATTACAGTTAAAGCACAACAAAGGAGGACTCACAGATGGTGAAGGCGGTGACCATGTTCTCCTTGTTGGAAGTGGAGTCCTCCAGCTGTAAGGAGGAGTTGACCAGTACCAGGCTGCTGTCGGTCCCCAGGGACACTTCAGCAGTGATGGGGGACACACTGACGGACTCCAGACCCATGCTGGCAGGCCCGTGAAGAGGAACAGGCTCCAGCTGAGGGGGGGGCGCCATGGAGGAGTGCGGGTGCGAGCCAGCTAGCACCACACTCACGACACCAGATCCCAGAGCGCCAGCCGGGTGCAGCTGCTCCCCCAGACCCCCCCCTGCACCCCCACCTGTCCCAGCTGTACCCACCCTGCCCCCTAAGTGGTCCTGGTCCATAACCACAGGCAGCTCCAACCCAGATCCATGCAGTGGCATCACCCCCCCAGATCCATCCACTGCCCCCAAAGCCGCATGGTTTCGTGTCCTGCCAGCCAGCTGCTGCGTCTCCGCCACCACCCCCTCCATCGAGGCCAACTCCTCCGCCATTCCATCCGGGGACATGGGGCTGCTCACGCGTGACTCCATGCTCAGCCCAGCGTCTAGAGGCACCTCATGGGCACCGGCCTGGTGGAGGCTCCCCTGACCCCCCACCTGTCGAGAGTCCAAGGCCACCAAGCTTTGCTCGAGGGGCGCCCCAGTTCCTGTGTACGGGTCCAGGCCAGAAGGGTTGCTGCTGCTCACAGACAGCGTTCCATCCATATTAAGGCTGCTCGGGTGGATGTACTGTGGGGGAGGACGGTCGGCCAGGTAGGACAAAATACCTGCAAAAATACCCGAGAGAGTAAGATAGGTTATAGGCAGGGATGGACATGACTGGTACGCAAGTACACATTCACATTTAAAAACGACACGTGTGACAATCGATTGTGGTAACAGTGTAAATACGTACTTATTTTATGTGTATTTGCGCTGATATGAAAACAAAATATAATGCATTTTAATCTTTATATGCTAACTTTACTTCATTTGCGGTATACAGGTTCAAATACAAGGTATTTTCTTGTAACTGTAGCGCAAATGCACATAAGTACCCATTTGCACTTTTACAATCAATCGATTGTCGCACGAATGGTTTTTAAAGGTGAATGCGTACTTGCACACCAGTTATGTCCATCCCTGGTTATAGGTGGATGTTAATTGCTTGAGAATCACAAGCAACAGATCTCACTAAAGCAGAACCAGGTAACCTCTAATCTTACCTGGAAGAATGTGTCTGAAGTAACTACTCTCCAGGTGGGGGTAAGGAGGAGGGGGCAAGGTGTAGTTCCTCTCTGGCAAGCCACACATCACCCCCCGATCTCCTATCGGACCCATGGGCAGCATCAGGGAGAGGGCAGAAGGGAGAGACCCTAGGGAAGGACCAAGGTTGGGGATGGCCACTGGCATGCCTGATTGAAAGTAAAAAAAACATTAAAGAAATTCTTATTGTTATTAATTAATGCATTAATTGTGATTATCAAGGTAACCAAAGAGGGGGCTGCTGAATGCCTGACCTGGAGCGGCGATGGGGTTGTGGGGCGGTGAGGTGGGAAGGCCCAGGTGAGTCCCGCTGACGGGGGGCACATTCAGCTGCTCCATTCCCACCGGACTCAGGTTGATGTCATTCATCCTGGGCGATTCAGAGCACAATCCCACATACGGATGAGCGACCTCTATCAGGGGGCAGTTCCGGCTAATTTATCAAGGCTTTGCAAAGGACGGCAGTACCTGACGGAATACGTTTTTCATTCATGACAACATTAACGCAAAGCCGTTTTCAGGCTGCAGGGAACAGAAAAAGGCACAGTCACCGGCAGCTCGCACCAATTTCCAGTCTCATAATACACCAATATTAAACAAAGTAATAGTAACTCTAATTACAAGCGTACAGAATTATTGATTATCTACTAATAGCCACCACTTAATACAATCACACTTACAAGTTTAAATATATACCACAGAAATCATATACCCAGTTCAGTAACTGAAGCTTGGTATTTAAAGTCAGTTACACGATGTGCAAAATGTTACTATAAAACACTGGAAACATACCAGATGCCTGCGGTGTAGAGCAACATATACCAAGAGCACATCAGTAAAATATAAGGAAACCGACGCCCCCCCCGCCGCCTTCCTGCTCAGCATTTACGCCGTGTGCCCGTCATATCACTAAAACTATTTGACACTTCACAGATTATCAGAGAGCAACTTCTAGCCAGCGAGGCTTAACAGCCAGCGAGCCTCCGAGCCAAGTTAGCCGGCGAGGCGGGTCAGCTGGTGGCCGAGAGGGAGCGAGCGAGCCGGGCAGCTAGTAAAGGGATACGGACTCATATGCGAGAATAAACGTTGGTTTAGCGAGCAGCCGGAGTGCTGGCCGAACAGTGAAGCATCGGATAAAAGATAATTAATGAGAATAAACGGCGAAGGCGGAGCAGAGCCACACAAAGAATGGAGCATTAAGGGTTAGCCTGACAGCTAGCAAGCTACAACACCGACAAGGAGAGGACTGCAAAACAAACGGCGTGCTTCCAAACAAAACGCCCTGAGATGCTCACAAAACATAATCACTTATCCAGTGTTTTCGAAAGTAATTATAATACGCACAACAAGGACGATATCTTTAAAACACATATGAATAGCTTTAGAAGAAAATGCATTACATCTTCGCTTCTTACTCATCTCAAATCCATCGGTGTGAATGTATAAATTTTTTGCCAAACTGCGCATGCGCGAGGATAGGGTTATACGCATAGTTGCGAAGTAAATTAAAATAGAAAATACTCTTGTAATTTATCTACTACGTTTATTAAAAACACATAAAGGACTTTTATGATAAAGAAATAAGTGGTAAAATCACCGTATGTCTTTGTACATAAATTATTTCCTGTAAATATATTTTTTGGGAAATGTATATTTCATAAATTTTACAATGTATACAGAGGATCCCTAACGAACAAACGCGCAAAACATATTTTCTCTCGCACTTTAGTGAAATGTGCGTCACTTTTTGAATGCAATGCAAACTGCAATGAGCATTTAGACATGAAAATCATGTTAATTTGCTTTAGCTAAGATTATCAAGTTTTTTAATTTAAGCAGAATCGGCATCCGAATCCTTTTATTCGCCATGTACAAAAAAGTATAAGGATCCTGTTTGGTACAGGTGGTGGCATGAAGATACAATTTAAAGCTACTGTAAAAACAAAAATACACAAAAAATAAATGGGATAAAAAAAGAAATAATGAAATAAAAGTGCGCTATTGATAAAGAAACATTAATTTGGGTTGTTATCTAAATTTAATATGATTTCTAAATACAGCACATTTATTTTAGTAAAATGAGTTTTATGTTATTATACACTTTTGCTATTTTCTGATATATACTGACATATTTTGTTATATATTGTTCTGTTATATTTAAATATGACGAACAGCTTCAATAAATTGTTTTGTATAAGTATATCTTTAATATAATGCCATGGGGTATAGCAAGCTCAGGACTAATTTACATGGCGCAAACAGAGAGGTTGGGAGAGGGTTAACCGACCAAAACCCGATCTTATCACACTTCTGGCAACCTGATTTATGAAAGTAATACTCGAAAAAAAAAACCAAGGCATATACTTCATTTCTGAACCCTCTGCAGAGCAGTACAGTGTCACATGCACAGTAGCGGAGCTGACAAGAAGGCTGGGTTTGGCGAAGAGCTATTTCGGACATTCTTAATTTCTTGGGGTCTAGTGTCTGAGACTCGTGGTTATAATGTAAATCATCATCTAAATGGAGAGGTAAGAATGACCTTATGATATTATAAAATGTAATTATTGTAAAGAGGATTACCAGAAGGGTGAAACATTAATATGTTTATATAATTCGTTTAATAAAAACAATTTAATTCTTTGTTCACATCCATCAAGAGTAATTGATGGAAATTTCAAACTTCGTTATGGATAAAACCGTCAGACATTTGAATAAATGTAAAGGAAAATTCACATTCTACGCCACTCTGTAGTTTTCCTTCAAATGCTCACGTCAGTGAATAGGATGCTTCTTTAAAGGTAAACTGGATTTTGAATACTCATTCGTAGGCTACTTGTTATCTCGCTTTCAGTATCTGCTTTGTGGCAGATCCAAAACGATTATCTCTGTCCTCGGGATTATCTGGGGGGGGGGGGGACACACAGTGCCAGGGTCAGACGAGTAACTGTTCAATTACAGTTGCAGGAACATGACAACCGAACGTCAGCAAAGTTACTTCGAGCGGCTCCAGTATCCGCGCTCCATAGCGCTCGGCTTCGCGAAGGACCAGGCCGGCGCCCCTTTCCGGGATGCTTTTGGGGTGCCCTTCCACTTCGAGCCCGCTTACCTGGATCCCGGCTACTGTCACGGCTACACCGGGCGCTTTTCCTACTTGCAGTTCCCGGGACATTTGGGCATGTATGATTGTTCATTCGAACCCGCGTTCATCCGCAAACGAAACGAAAGGGAGAGACAGCGAGTTCGGTGCGTCAACGAAGGTTACGCTCGACTCCGGGAGCACCTCCCGCAGGAGTTTGAGGATAAGAGACTGAGCAAAGTGGAGACGCTTCGTGCGGCGATAAATTACATAAAACATTTACAGAGCATCTTGAACCTTCACGTGTCTGACGCGGAGGATGGACTGCGGTCGCCGGAAAACGTGCGAAGTCCCCCCAGGGTGCTGCACCAAGCAGAATGTAACAGCGACGGGGAGTCCAGAAACAGCCTGAGCGACTGTGGGGAAACAAACTGTTGAAGTGAATCGAATTATTAAACACATAAAATAAAAGCTGTTTACAATAGCAATGGCGCAGCAGGCTATTTACACCTCAAGGGGTAACGGCTATGATTTTTGTGTCAACATTTAGTGTCAGATGAGGCATCCCGTTTATTTGTAACTCATAATGTAAGACGGCATTGATTCAGTGACATCTATAAATATGATGGTAACTCAGGGTGCATATTTCCTAATGTCGGACAGTGACAGTGACAGTGTAAAATAATGAAAAATATGAGTTTGTCTAATCGAGTTTGTTAAGTCTATGAGGTTTTGTACATTTCTTTACTATATCGACTATATGGGAAATCCTAATCTCCGCTCTTGATTATTTTCGTACGATATTTCCAAACTGCTGTGATTTCAGTTCATACTGGATATCAGGGGCACCATAAAAGTGCGGAGGTGGGGGGGGGGGGGGGATTTGGACCATTAATAGATTGATCTGGGTTGGAGGCCCAATATGATAGGCTTTCATTGGGTACCCCTAATCAGAGTATCAGACGCTGTATGATTTGATTGTATTGCAGGTTGTTACGTTGGACTAAACATCTGGATTTACATTGTCCTTGTTCAGGTTTTAAATAATCCAAGGTTTCATGCATAAATAAAGAATGATAGATAGATAGAAGGCTCCAAGAAGAAGTTAAAGTACATGCATTACTGTATATATATGGGCTACTGTATGTACTATAGACGGGAATACAAAAATGTTTTGGCGTATAGGCTAGCTAATAAAAATAGATTGTCAGTTAATAAATTCCCGTTTTTATGTAGGCTATACGATATATACACAGGTGTTGATTCAAACTTTCGGTTACCCTTGTAGTTTAGGGGCGTTTTATCCCGTCTTGTTTTCATTGAGGTGGTTACACTGTTAAACAGCCACAAACACAAAAGTATCACTGGGATGTTTTTGTTTTGCCCTGGTGTTGAAAACAAATAAAAGCATCTAAACGTTAATTTCCAGTTTCCAGCGTGTCATTTCCAAAGAATTTCACTCGCCGGTTAATGATGCAAACACCTGCGGAGTTCAGGTACACAAACTTATCTCTGTGTGTTTATGATCAGGGGCGTAGGTTTCATATTAACATTGGGGGGACGGAACGAGCATATCGGGGACAGAGGTGTGACGTCAAGTCGCTTTAGTCGCACTGTACACTTCGTTATTGTTCTTTTTTTTCGTGAACTACTGCTGTTACATAATAAAACTTTATCTTTCAATTTTACTGTTATTCATCTTGACTAATATGACAGTTAAAGTGCGTTAAGTCCCGCGTTATGTACGGTGAACTTGCGGGAATTATTAAAATTATTTGCGATATTTTGCCGCGAATATCAGGCGATTCACTGTGGGAAAATGGCCTCACTTCACTTCTCTCTCACAAACACACCGAACTTTCCGGATAGAAAGACAACACACATAAAATAGCGACTATAGAAGATCTTCTATCTCTATAAGTCTATCTCTTCTTTGTAATAAATGGCACTTTCTGTAAGCACTATTTATGAACTAAATGATTCTGAATTTCTGGTAACCGAGTAACTACGGCATTTTCCAAATAAATGCCAGATCTGGCTTCTTACTCATTCTTATGCTCTAACAGCAAATACAATGTGATGAGAATTATGACTGACACAAACACAATATGCACCGCTTCGTTATCAGCGTGGCTATTCTGTTATGCTGTTAATTTACCAAGCTAGTTGCAGTTTGCACAATCAAATAAGATAATCTTTATGAAACGTAATCGACATGAGACGATTAAATTCCACCATTTCACATAATTTTTTATTGATTAACTGTTAACGGAGGGTAAAAACTGCAAAACAACTTTTAAATTATGTAGGCCTAATGAGATATATTAATCATGTGTTTTTGTAAACCAGGCATTATATGTCATATTATTGAGGGGGATGATCCCCTCCGTCCCCCCAAAATTTACGCCTGTGTGTTTAAGATGTGATCATTTTTAGTTTAGCATAAGAAAAACTACATGCCACTATTAAATATGTTCCAAAGTGTCCTAGTCGCCATGCAGCCAATTTTGAATAGATCTCGCAGTGTTTCATTTTCTCTAGCCGCCAAAAGAAATGGCATTTCTCCAGTTATACATTTGAGGTTGGCATTCTCCAAGTTTGTAACACCTACGTATCAATCGAACACATTCTCGGCAGCTATGACAGAACAAAATAAGTTGCATTACTTACGTCAGTCAAGAACTGCCTGTATTTACCAGTCATATTACAGATCTACCGCCACACAACCACAAAACGCACAGCTACTAAGGTAAGTGAAAAGATTGTAATTGAATATAAAAGGGCGCACTAAGGTTTTGAAAAGCTTTATTTTGTGTTCTTGCATTGCTATTCAACACGTGTTGGGCACCATCAGATAAGATACATTTTCATGGTATCTTAATGTAAATCAAATAATTTGTCGTTTTAATGTGATTTTACAATTAATGCCGACAATGTTTCTGCAGTAGTAGAAAATTATAAACGTTCTGGTAAAAAAGTTTTGGGTAATTCTACACCGAAACAAAATGTTGAAATCAACTTTAATGTAAGTTTAATTAAAATACAATCGCATAAATGTACTCTTCTGCAACAAAATAATACATACATACATACATACACAAAATCAACTCTGTGAAATAAAACTCCAGATTTGTGCACAACTAATAAAAGGCACATCTCAAGGGTACCGTGTGGAAGTTTGGTGGTGAAGATTGAAGCACCAAAAATTCCCTTTTATCCAGTCGGTGTCTGAAAACACGGCTCTTCAAAGTTCACCTGGACACTTCAAAACATGAACTCGATAGTCTTGAGGAATGTATTTCACCAGGTATCCCTCAGCCCTCAGGAGGAAGTTTATGTATAAACTAAAAAGTGCAACCCCCGCCCAATTCATCTGTTTACGCTCCATGTGTTAGGGAACTTGCAGAGACACAACCCCAACTTGCTATTTCCATCTATTAAGCGTAAAAACTGAAAATAGGGAGGGGGGAGGAACGCCAGCAGAGTCGGCTTCCCATGAACCATGCAGGTAAAGGAGAATGGTTTTTCACTGCCAGGGAAGCATGAAATCTCATCAAGAGATCACTTGCCACTATACGTGAATTAGACCCAATAATTAACACTCTGCAGGTACCCTGCACTTGATGGTTCAGTGAATGGCTTTGGAGAACGAACAGGGGATACTTAGATAAAAGCATGTTCCGTAATGGCTGTTTTCACTCAGATGCTAATCGGACGCGAATAGTGAATTCCTCAGCGTCATCTCTCTCGCCAAATCTTTTTTGGTTTTATTTTGCTGTGTGTCAGCTTGTGGGCATCGTTTGATACTGATCGGTTTTCCATTTTTCTTTAAATCTTTGTTCCACCTTAGCAACGTTAAAGCTTCTCGTAATACAAAAGGTTGTATAAATTCACGAAAGGAAGTTATGAATGTTTGTAAGCCACCGGAGCGAGCTGCAATGTCTCTGTACATTTCAAGCTTCTGTAAAACTTCCAGGACATTATGTTTGCCCAAACATGAATGCTTGTCTTGATTCTTGCCTCATTCTTTATCAAACCAAGAATTATAGTTCTTCCTGTAAAATAGGTTCTATTGACCTGTATATAGATACATATACATACAGACATGCAGACATACCGCAGCAAAAATTTCAGTTTCACTCATTTCTCAATTTATGGGTATGTGCCAGTGTAAAACATATTTTTTTCCCCTGCTTCTAACTGATGAAGGGCTTCTTCATCATGGGTCTAAAACCCTGCTTCTAGGAACCTGATATGAACTGTCCTTGCAATGCACTTCACAACTGCACGTAATGTTTCCCATTCCTTTTGAACGTCACTTGAGATCATCCTTCGATTTATGAGGCACTGTTGGATAAGTTGATGGTCATCTCTGGCATTAGAAAGCTGCTTCTGCCCTCTACCTGGCTGGTTTTTGGTTATTCCCAGTGTCTCCTGCTTCACCTTGATCTTTGAACTGCCGTCTTAGAAACTATGAGCCTGGAAGCAGCCTGCCTTGCAGTCTAGCCTTCTGCCAGCAGACCGAGGATTAAACCAGGATTTAAAAGAGCACATTTTAAAACAATATAGAGTGGACTCTTAATTTTTTCTAGACCTGTATATAAAAATAAACACACACACACACACACACACACACACACACACAGGCATTAATCATGGGGGAATCTGAAGGGATAGATCACACCCAATAGTCAAAACAGTGGTGTCTGTTCTACCCAGTATTTTACAGGAGTTTGCCTTTAAATGAAAATATGAATAAACTAGAATATAATTTGCTTCCCCCAGGATTTAAAACATAGTGACACATTTGTGTGTGTGTGTGCATGTGTATATATGTATACATATTATATATTTGTATATATACTGTAGAGAGAGAGAGAGAGAAAGCAAAAATGGAGCCTTGGACATCAAAGTGAGACCAAACAATCCTTCACTGGCTTGCTTTCAAAGTCATCATAAAGCATAAATCTAAAATTCAAGTAGTTTCCCTTGGTCTTAATTATGATTTAAGGCTGACCCAAATATGGCTGTTCAACCTGGAGATACTGAGCTAGTGTTGAGACACAGGATAAAATACTGTGAAGAACAGCACGAGAATCAGGGAGCAGATGAGATGAAACATGAAATGGTGTTTCTGGGTAAAATGTTTCTGTTTCATGCTGTTCATATCATATAAGAGCGTCAAGCTCCATGATTTTGCTTGTAAAGATCTCTAGCCACTTGAGTTATCTGTGACACTCATTGTCAATCACCACACACACACACACACACTCTCCCTCACCCTGGGATCATGGGCAGTCTTGAGCAATAAACACGGCCATAACCGGTCCTTTCACTCTACACAAAAAGCAAAAAGAAACAAACACACAACACGTACATTGTGTTTGAACAAGATGCCTGCATGACCTGGGTAAATATGTACTCCGGAGCACAATGCCACCATGTTATAAGCTCAGAAAACAGTAACAATATTGATGATTGCAACAACATCTGATTACAAAATCCAGCAGCAAACACATTAACTCTGCCATTCCAACAGTGTGAACAGAACGGGCTCGATACAGGAAGCCCAGTCGAGCCAGAGACCACAGAGAAGTGAGTTGGGGTGCATCCACAGGGCCTTGAACCTATACAGCTCTCGGAAGCACGTGTTGTGGTGCAATCAGAGCACGTGGTGCACCGGGCAAGCGTGTATCAGAGCCAAACCTGCATCTTAGATCGGGAGCGAAGATATCCCTTATCGAGAGAGGCAACGTCAGTGTGGGACCACCGGGGGAGCAAGCGAGTGAGCGGCTACATGTCGTGACACAAACCTGCGGCAGAGCCAAGGAAAATGGGCCGATGCAAATGTGGCGGCCATGGGGAAACTAACAGCCAGGCTCCCGCCTGCCGCTTCGAATTCAAGTTTTGCTTTTTAGAACTTTCTGGATGTTTCCCCCCCCCCAAACATTCTCGCTCCATGGTTGGTTGAAGCCGCAGACACGGATCAGGCAGATGCAGAGGACCTACTGTAGAAACATATTCTTCTCAAGATGTAACTATCAGACTGCACTGGCTGAAATTCAAGATGTAAATAAGCACTTAAGTGAATCCAGACTTATACAAAACAGGCTTAAGTACATAAACAGAAATAAACATATAGAAGTGCTAAGTCGAATAGGCAACATACGTTTTTCATTGTTTTTTTTCATTTGTTTTTGTTCTTTAGTATGCTTTACTTGTATATTTTTGGTTTATGAGTTTTTTGCTATTTAATTAAGTGTCTTGAATGGTATGGGATGGTAAATCCTATTTACGTAAAATTTGACTTATGCAAGTTACTTACGTCAGTCAAGAACTGCCTATACTTAATCACATATCCAGAATAGTTATATAATACAATTAACAATACAATCTCCACTCATATTTTATAACTCTGTTTACAACTTATTTGTTTGCATATAAAACTCGAGCTCAGTTATAATACATTTTATCCAATTCACACGGTATCAGAAGTCTGGATTCTCTGATGTTTGAATCATCTGGAAGGATCATATCAAAGTTTTTGAATTAGATTAATGTTTGTAGTAAAATGCAACACCTGCAAAAAGGGTGCAGTAGTCATTTTATCTTTGAAATAAATCTTTAGGCTCAAATGAGTTCTAAATCAAGCAAAGATCCCTTCCCATTAAGTCCTTATCAGTTTTACAGTAGACCAGCCCATCCACAACACCCACTCAGACCTCCAAGGCTAGGTGATCCTTGCTTCAGGGCCTACTTTGCCAGCTATGTTACCAAAACAGATGTAAACATTACTCAAAATAAAAGTCCTACAACTGTGATATCCCCTCCAGTAGGGCTGGTTTCACCTTTTCAGGGGCCCTAGGCAAATTTTATTTGGGAGGCCCCCCAACCAAGGAAACTGATGATCGTTTCACTTGCTCCTCAGTGCTGGTAATTCGGTAATTCTGCCTAAAGGTCGAGCTGGTCCCGCCCACCAGTCCCAACAGGTGGGGGCAATGATAGGCTGCATCGGGAATTACACACTACATTGTGCACCAAAATAGTATACGAGACATAACAGTGTGTCCGAAACCACAGTGCGCATTGCTTAGTGCTCAAGAAGTGCCTGGATGGAACCAAACATCCAGTCAAAATGCGAAGTGTGAACACTGTACGCTATTCAATCCCACAATCCTAGACGCGACTTGCGAGGTTTGTTCGGTATTTGTTGTTATGCAGGACATCTGTCAATAAAGATCAAAGCCCAGCAGTTCACAGGTAACGTAGTGTGACCGGAAACTGTAAGAAGTTCTGTAATTGCACACTAATGATTTGCACTGCGTGACCGTCACCGTAGCGTGTACCTTTTCCTCATTACAGTGCATAGTGTGCAGCGTGTGATTTCAGTTACAGCCATGGTCAGAGCTATAAGGATGAAAGTTCCTTTGGTTAAAATGCTTCTTATGTATTTAAACTCATTCTGTGCAGATCTTGGAGCGTCCACTTCTGCTTAGGACAAATCTGAGGGGCTGCTGCCCCCTTGTGCCTGGGACATGAAATAGATTTTTTTTCATGTACGGTAATTCCTACAGTGCAGACAAGTTAAGCAAAGTATTTGCAGAGTAACAGTATTCAAACAAATGCAACATCTCCACATTCTGTTATTTAAAAAATTTATTGAGAACTTTTTCTATAACTAATAATATATATATATTGATATATATATTATTATATAAATAACTACTGTACGTATCTACAGTGGAATATAAAAAATATACAAGTAAAAATGGGGACAGATCAGTGAGATGCCTGTCCTACATCTGTAAAGATTCTGTAACTTGTAATGTCATTTTTCCGTAGTGTGACTGCTGTCGGAACACAATGGCTTCCCCGACTCACACACGATGCAGTTCCTGGAGCTTCTCAAGGAGCCCGTCCCTCTCCCGCTCCAGCGTGGAGATTTTCTGGCTCTTCCGACTCACTTCCTGCAGGGAGCACAGCATGCTGGGTAAATAAAACTATCCATAGCACAGGAGCTGTCCCGTTTAAAGATAAGCACCAAGAGCTGGACTAAAACCTTGGGGTGCTGAAGAGCCCTCCTCACTATTTCATAAAAGGTGACACCCCCCCCAGCCGTGCCCTTTACTATAACGGGAGAACGCAGAGTGATGCATGAACTCAGTCTGTCCTATGAAACTGCAACTCTTCTTTTTTAATAACTTACAATGGAAGCACAAAAAACAATAATTAAGTATATAATAATGAAAAATGAAAATGAACTGCTTAATTCGTGTTCTAGGTTTGTAAGGGGCACCATCATATTGCTTACTAGGGGGAGTAAAGTTGTCACATAATGTCGCATAACTCTTCTAACCCAAATTTGCATAGTGAGGACATGCAAGGGGAAGACAAGCTATATTGCTTGATAAAGCCCTTTTAGTGCCCCCCCCCCTCCTTGTCAAACAGTTCTATCCATACCTGTATCAGAACAGTGTTCTGCCATTGAAGGCTGGAATCAGAGTTCTCTCCTTCTTCTAGGCATGGCAGGATTCTCGCTGTATTGGGATCAAACATCAGATTCCCCAAACGGCCATTCACTCTCTGGATGCGAGACCTAATCAGACAGTCTCTAGACGGAGTTTCCTAGGGGGGGAAATACAAGCAAGAATGAAAGAATTTCATTGTAGGACAAAGAGCTACATGGCTTTCAAAGACACAGAGGTTGTGAGTTTAAATTCCGGATTATGGGTAGAATCCTTAATATCTTTGAACAAAATCATTGGCTGATCCAAGTATCATCATCATCATCAAAATACATGGTTGTGGGATCAGTAATGCATTTGTAGACCTTTACTTCCAAGTTCAGGACACAGTGAGCTCAGGACGCACCAGATATTCAGTCCAGGGCTCAGGTCCATCATGTCGCTCTCGATTCTCCTCCAGTTGTTGATGATACCACATCCGGGCCTGCTCCAGAGTCTCCAGCCCGGCCCAAAGGCAGTCCTTCTCGCGTTCCAGCTCCTTCAGTCTCTTCAGCTAAGGCCAACAGAACAGTGTTGTTTATCCTGAAGCCTGTTCTGCTGGGAGTCTAGCTAAATGCTTGTTCTGCACTCAGCCTAACTTCCTTAGCTAAATCAAAACCCACTGCAGACATGAGTTAAAGGGGTACTATGTTTTCTGTTTTCAGGGAGGGTGGCATCCACATGTATCTCATGACAACTAAAGCTCTGTTTGAAAGTCTCTGAAAAGTTCAGGTTGTCCAGTTATTATTGAAAATGAATAATTTAGCCTGCCCTGCGATGGGCTGGCGCCCCATCCTGGGTTGTTCCCTGCCTTGCACCTGTAGCCTCCGGGATAGGCTCTAGACCCCCTGCAACCATGAATAGGATAAGCAATTAGAGAAAATGAATGAATGAATGAATGAATAATGTAGCCATCAGTGTTTCACCTGCACACTAAAGCTTCCACTACAAATCAGTTAAGCGCCATCTAGTGGTCCTACATCACACACACATCTTCCGTGAATAAGCATGCTGTAGCCCGAAGGAGGAACCCACAAGGCCACATCCTCCAGTGTCAGCTTGGACAGGGCGCTCATGCACTGCAGAGCCAGCTGCAAAACGATTGCTCCAGCATCTGTAGCCAGTACTTTATATTTTGAATTAGGGAATCAAGTCATTCTGGCTTTATTTCTACAGCATTTCAATTATGCTGTATACTAATAAATATTCTTTCAAGGTTATACACACAGATAAGTGATTTTGTGATATAAGCCTACTGGAGGTGCAGGTCTTTACATCGATTGTGACTTTTTACTATAGATGAAATATGCCCATTCTCCTCTGTCTACTGATAGCATTTGACATATAATTGACTAATGAATTTCTGCCATATAATTAACTAATGATTTTATGAAGTAATCTTTTTAGCTATAATATTTATGTCTGTGCTAGTTAATGCTTATTTTCATTATGGTTGTTTGCATGGGTTACTTTATATCGCTAATTTTAACAACATTGATAGCTAGTTAACTATCATGATTGTGAATTGTGAATATAAAGGGAGATTAGTTTGTGTCTTGTTGACACTGACATATTTGCCTCACAACAGTCCATTCAAGTCCATTTGAAACAGTAAACTGTTCACTGACGGCTGTGTAAAGGTGGGATTCTGTTTGTGGCATTAGGGGTGTTTCATTATCTTAGGGCTATTTTGTGAAGTAGTTTCAGAGAAAATGAGTTTCTTCACACTACTGAAATAATAGATTTTTGGAGATCTGTGTTTTTCATTGACATCGATGATATATTATAAATAATCAGAAAAGCCATCATGGGACTCCTTGAACTCAGATATTGCACTTCAGTTCCCCCTCCTGCTGTCCTTTCTTTGTGTCCTACTAACATTCAGCCCTCAAAGAATCCACCAAAGGCGTTCCCAGCTAACTGAAATGAACATGCCCGAGCCGCCAGGCCAGAGCTGTGAATAATCAGTATTACCCTAACGGCCGGGACAGGTGTGTCCCAACAGCTAATACATGTATATGTACAGTCATGTGAAAAAGAAAGTACACCCTCTGTCAATTGTAAGGTTTTACGTATCAGGACATAATAATCATCTGGTCTTAGAATTAGGTAATTACAACTTCAGATGATCAACGACACATGACATATTACACCGTGTCATTGTTTACTGAACTAAGCCAAAATGCAGAAGCAGTGTGTGAAAAATGAAGTACATCCGTACAGCTTCCATGGGAACTCAAAGCAGCCAGGTGCTGCTAATGAAATGCACTTGGTTAAGTGGATCCCCTTAAATGGCTGGAGACCTCAACCCCCCTAAGCTCTGCGTAGTATGGGCCCTATCGGTCATTCCAGATTATAATTTCACAGCTACTGTATGCTAGTTGGGCTGGTTTTAATTGATCCACCTCTATAAAAGCAGAAGCTTTGGTAGTTTGCTGTTCTGGAGTGTTCAGGTGTGTGTTACCACGATGCCAAGGAGGAACGATGTCAGCATTGATCTCAGAAAAGCAAGTGCTGCTGCCCATCAATCTGGGAAGGAGTACAGGGCCATTTCCAAACAATTAGAAGTCCATCATTCTACAGTGAGAAAGATTATTCACAAGTGGAAAACATTTAAGACGGCTGCCGATTTTCCCAGGAGTGGACGTCCCAGCAAATTCACCCCAAGGTCAGACCGTGCAACGCTCAGAGAAACCCAGGAGCTACATCTCAGACTCTACAGGCCTCAATTATCATGTTAAATGTTAAAGTTCATGACAGTACAATAAGAAAAAGACTGAACAAGTATGGCTTGTTTGGAAGGGTTGCCAGGAGAAAGCCTCTTTTCTCTAAAAAGAACATGGCTTAGGTTTGCAAAGTTGCATCTGAACAAACCACAAGAACAAACCGTCCTGTGGGCAGACGAGACCGAAGCAGAAATATTTGGCCATAATGCACTGTGCCACATTTGGAGAAAACGAAGCAGAGCATATCAGCACAGACTCCTCATACCAACTGGTGGTTTGGGCTTGTTTTGCAGCCGCAGGACTTGGGCACTTTGCAGTCATTGAGTCAATCATGAGCTCCTCTGTATACCAAAGTATTGTAGAGTCAAAAGTGCGGCCATCTGTCCAACAGCTAAAACTTTGCCGAAATTGGGTCATGCAACAGGACAATGACCCCAAACACACCAGCAAATCTACAAGAGAATGGCTGAAAAAGAAAAAAATCAAGGTGTTGCAATGGCCCAGTCAAAGTCCAGGCGTCGACTGAAATGCTGTGGCAGGACCTTAAGACAGCTGTGCATAAATGAATGTCCGCGAACATCGATGAACTGAAGCAACGGTGTAAAGAAGAGTGGGCCAGAATTCCTCCACAATGATGTGAGAGACTGATAAAGTCATACCGAAAATGATTACTTCAAGTTATTGCTGCTATTGAATCATGCAGTATACTTAACACTTAGTTTTTCACACATGACTTCTCCATTCTGGCTTCATTGTTGTTAAATATTGACACGGTGGAATATGTTGTGTGTTGTTTTACACGTGAGGTTAGATTTAAATAATTTCAGAATCCGGTAAGGATCAGATTTTTTTTTTATGTCCTGATACGTAAAACCATAGAAATGAAAGAGGGTGTACTTTCTTTTTCACATGACTGTACATAGGGGATACATAGGAAATAGTACCATAAAAATAAGCCCAAGAGTTACAAAGGAGCCTAAACATCAGCGTTGTTAATCATCGGCCCCTCAAACAGATCTGAACAACCAAACTCACACAAACAGAGTTCACAGTCTCATACTCTTCAGGTGGGATAAAAATACACAGAATGCGAGAAATGTGCGACAAACAGACCACCCGCAAACATACGAGATAAGGCTGCGACACCTTTCACACACAGACGAGCACCACGCCCCCCCCGTCGGCTGCCCCCTCCCCCCACCATGTCTCACCCAGAGGAAAAAGTGCAGGGAGTCCAGGTGCTGAAAGGCGCTCTGCTGTGGGATAATGGCCACGGTGTAGGAGCCTGGGAAGGCCATGTGGGAACTAAACACTAAGCAGGCACCAGAGCTACTGCGCAGAGCAGGAAGGATGACAGGAGGGAGAGAGGGAGAGAGAGAGAGAGAGAGAGAGAGAGAGACACTGACACTGAGACACACAGGATGGACATAGCTAGAAGGCAGCCAGTGAGACATGCCATGTGTCACTGCAGTGGGCGGCTTTCTGACAGCGTGTGACTGACTGCAAGAAGGGTGAAGAGAGTCGACTTTAAAACAAGGCTGACGAAAGCGTGTACTGCAGAGAAGCAGAAGCAGCCCCAGAGAAGGAATGTTTCCCCAGACAGCTACAGAGAGCCTCCCTATCAGTAATAGTGCTTCGAAGCTGAACTAAAATGCCGCGTGATGCAAAAAGTTTGCATTTTCGTTTTACAGCCCTGGCCTGTTCAAACACGCCGTGGAATGTGACTGTACCAGAACTGGAAGGAAACAGAACCGTGAGCAAGAGTGACTGCTAGACTTAACGAATACATTATGGTGTCCCTGTTTAATACTCACCCACCCAGAAAACAACCAATATACCCCCCCCCCCCCAATGTGGGATTTCACCTGATGATCTACGAAAGAACCCAGTAACAAACTGCTAGGATTCCTTGCTTCATTCACGGTGGCACAGGGTACAGTCATGATATCACTCTGACATTCTTCTTGCATCACAGCAGCTCTATTTGCGACAACAGAAAAAAAAAATACTTAAAGACACAAAGACGTACATTTTCCACACCATCACAAGGACAAATTCAACATACACTTAGTCTTCAATTAAGTTCCATATTTAGTTTTAGGATCGACTGATGCACAAAGGAGTGCTTTAGTCTAACCTTGTTAAATTGTGGAACCCTATCTCCAGTTTGAAGGTAACAGTCTCAGGAGACACTGGGTCAAGAGAGCAAACTGTGCCCCCCTCCCCCGCTGCTTCCGTGGCCTGCCCCCCCTGCCTTCATCTTTAGATGTACAATCTATTTCAACTTTTAAGCCCTATATCTACTTCAGGAATGTTGTAATACATCTCCCGCTTTGTAAGACGGCCTTTGTTTGTCTTGCTGCTGTTCTGTGGTTTTTGTGTTGGATTGTATGCATTGTAATGCATCCTTGAAAGTGTGAAAGGAGCCAGATGAATAAAACATCATCATTATTATTACATAGGAACCAACGACATCCAACAAAGGGGCACTTTCGGTAGTGTTGTAAATGGACTGAATATTTGATGCACTACCATTGTATAACTACAGTTTGGTTGTTGACTGGAGCTGCTGGTATGAATTAAAACCTTGTGTACGATAAAAATATATAATAAATAGATTAAGTTTGATTTATACTAAAGGAAATTCATCTGAAATGTCCTATTTCTCGTAAAGCCTTGTGCACTATGCTATAACTACAAAAATTACCACTTTACACTGTACACAAGCAACCACTCTCTGGACTTTATATACATGCACTGACATTCATAAATCAATGTATGTACATACACCACCGTTCAAAAGTTTGGGGTCACTTAGAAATTTCCTTGCTTTTGAAAAAGCAAGTCTTTGTCCATTAAAATAAAATCAGATTGATCAGAAATACTGTGCAGACGCTGTCAATGTTGCAAATGACTATCGTAGCTGGAAATGGCTGCTTTTAATGGAATATCTTCATGGGTGTACAGAAAGGCCCATTATCAGCAACAGTTAGTCCCGTGTTCCAGTGGAATGTTGTGTTTGCTAATGCAAGTTTATCATTGATCATTAGACATTTTTGCAATTATGTTAGCAGATGAAAATTGTTGTGCTAATTAAAGAAGCAATAAAACTGGCCTTCTGTGGACCAGTTGAGTAACTGAAGCATCAGCAATTGAGGGTTCGATTATAAGCTGAAAATGGTCAGAAACAAAGAACTTTCTTCTGAAACTCATCAGCCTATTCTTATTCTAAGAAATGAAGACTATTCTGTGCGAGAAATTGCCAGGAAACTGAAGATCTTCACAAGGCAGTGCAAACCGGCTCTAGCCGGTCTATTATTCTGAGAATAATTGAGCTGTTATGGGAGCAGTTTGACAGAATGGTACGTAAAGTTTCCGTCAAGCCAATCCAACTTGTGGGAGATGCTTCCGGAAACGCGGGGTGAAACCTTGCGAGATTACCTCAACAAAATGACTTCTAGAATGCCCAAGGTCTAGAAGGTTGTAACTGCTACAAATGGAGGACTCTTGGACGAAAGCAAAAGTTTGAAGAACACAATTATTATTTTAATTTTTAAAAAATTCTAACTTAGTCAATGACTATTTCCTAATTATTTTGTTATATCTCCTATTCAAACTCATTTCATGTACGTTTTCATGGAAAACACGGAAATTTCTAAGTGACCCCAAACTTTTGAACAGTAGTGTATATAACTAAACTAGGGTTTACTCAACCTTTGATCTACCACTCGAGCCCTGACTACAGCCCATCATTGGCTGATTGCCTGCAAGTTATAATACAGAGACCCAGACTAGGAAACACCACCTTGTGAATTAATGTAACATGCAGGTTTACGGTGCACTTCTTGATGATTGCATATCCACTCCTACGAAGTACAGGGCACTAGGACGCGGAAAACTGGGATACCAGTATATCTTTTAGAAGAAATGGTTTAGAGAAATAAAACATACACTTTCAAAGTTTGAGAGATGTGATTAGGAGTGAGTTTGTTTACTTTAGAGATTAAATGTACCATATCAATAATTTAGCTCCTGCTGAAATAATATCCAGAGTGACTGACTGAAATAAAAATTTAATGGATGTGATCTCTGGCACCCTCATCAGGGTAAGTGGTTAGAAGATGAACTGATGAAACAGTGATGAACCCAATTTAATTACACTTTTATTTATTTTTATTTTAAAGCTGAATAACCTTATTTTTAAGAGGTACGGTTTATGGTGACCAAACTTTAACAGAACAAACTGCTTAGCTAAGTGCCTGTTAGTATATCTGAAGGTGTGGCTTGTAAACAATGGTACATTCCAGCACAAGTTCAACAACGAATTATCAGAAAATCACACAAACACAGCTCAACTGATTAAACAATAGCTTCTTGTAAATTTTGATTCAAGGAAGTAGACAGTGACAAGATGTCAGAAGCAGCTGGGATTAAAATGGGCTGAGTTCCCACATTCCTCTGTGCTGCCGTCACCTATCTGTCAGTGCAAAAAAACATGTAATTTACAGAAAAGCCCTAAAAGGATTTTTTTCACATCTTTTAAACGTAATGAATTATTGTTTAAAACATGCACTGCAAAGTCAGATGGTAAAGATAAACCAGTTAAATCACCAGTGAACTACAAGCTTTTCCCATGAATAACAAAACACCACTTTGTAAATGGAGGGAAATTAACCTCTTTAACAAAACAAACCATACTGAGTTCTCTGTGGCTATAAATTCTCTCAGTCTGTGACTGTGTCTTCGTTCAACGGGTAAGGACTGAGGTCCAGGGTCAGGAGACGGCTGAACATGTACTCATCGTACTGCAGGAGAAAAATGAACGTCAGGGAAAAATGGCAAAAGAAAGAGATCGAATAGGATTATAATCAATACCAGGAAATAAATGTAGGGAGAAAAATTAGATATAGTAATAAAAACATATTTTATCACAAATAAAGTCAAACCTTAATGGCAATACAGTGTCACCTACAAAACTAATCATATTCTTTGTGCTTTTGCACAAATTCTGGCTCTGGCTTAAGCAATAGTAATGAGACATAAGGGGCTCTACCCAAACGTCTGCTCAGAGTTCTGCACACCGCACGAGGCTGACCTCAGAGTATACTCCCAAAAGAGCATCTGCCTTGGAGTAGAACTCCTCCTTCTGGGAGATGACAATTATCTGGAAGTATGCCTTACACTGCTCACGGATGTAGCTGGTAAGCTGGGAGTAGGACAACGTGACAGTTATCATCATTTGCTAGGCTGGGTCTTGAAATATTAATGGCGCCTTGCCAAGATTAACATAAATTTTGGGCGTATGATACTGTGATGTCTGTCTTGCCTTATTAATGTTGGTATTGTCTAGGGCTGCATCAACCTCATCCAGAACAAAGAAAGGAGCAGGACGGAAACTGCAACATAAATTCAGAATGACAACTGCAGAAGACCCACATTATCAAGAACAGCACTTAAATTGCTTAATTCCCCTCCTGTTCATTCTATAGTTAATCATATGCAAATATTCTGCTCATCGCAACGTTGACAGCTTCTGGCCTCCTAGGAAGGAGATGACATATTGACATTTGTTGTTGCACATCAAACAATTTATACTCTAAGTTAAACTCGAGACATTCATAATTCCTGATTCCAGCAACAGTGCTCAAGCGAAGTTCACTAGGAGCCTATCAGTGAATTGGGCTACTTTGCTATTCTACCCATCAACTTGGAAACTAAGCCATGGGAGAGGAGTGAAGATCTTTTCGGAAAGACCTCGGCTACCTGTGAATGGCAAAGACCAGGGCCAGGGCAGCTATGGACTTCTCCCCCCCTGACAGATTGTCCATGGCCATGAAACGCTTGCCTGGGGCCACACAGTTGTAGCTGATGCCATCCAGGTATGGCTCATCTGGGTTCTCCACACTGAGGATGGCCTGCAAGGTGAATTGAAGCTACCAAACTGTCTGCAAGTGTGAATATGTATGTGTGTGTGTGAACAGAGTGTGCATGTGCCCTGTGATGGGTTGGCGCCCATTCCTATGTTATTCATTGCCCACTGTTTTTGGAACAGACCCTGGAACCCTACAGTCCTATACAGGACAAGCAGTATAGAAGATGAATGAAAGAAAAGAGTATCTGTATCCAATCATCCATCCTGGAGCCTAAGCAAGGCACTGAGAGGCACCACCTCGACTAACTCCATATTTTCAGGCAGCTGACATAAAGCAAGTTTGCCACTTCTATAATGACATTTCAAAGACAGTAAAACCATATTTATTCACAAAGAAAATGCAATTTAATGTTCCACAATGCAATGGTTTTATCTGAAATACGGCTTCAGAAAATTGTAACCTATACAAAGCTGTAAGCAGCATGCAAGTTGGCACCTGATACTGGCAGAGCCCATATGAATTCATATACAGGTAGTACTACGTCTGCTATACTGCCAGAGGAACCACAGCATTCTCAGTATTTTGAACCATCAGGCTTAATTTTGTACAGCCGCTACAAAAGATTGTGAAGAAACTGCCCTGTTTTAGTCACATGGCCATAGAGTAACTATATTAACATCAGGTTGAAGCAGCTCTGTCTACAGTAGCTGTACTAGATTGACTTAGAAAGATAAAAATGTGAAAAACCAGAATGACAACCTACAAGTTCTTCTGAAATGCTGTCTGAAATGTCTCCCACCAAGAACTTGGATCTGTTGGTTACTTATTCAAAAACCATTCTTGTATAAAAGTATGGCAAGTAGTTGTCCAGTATTACGAATTACAATTTGGTGTAGGATATGGCAAAATGGACCAAAGGCCTGGGTAAAAAATGTAGTGAACATTTTACACAAAAATTTAAAGTGAAACTTTAAATATAAACAAAACGGGCAGAACAATGGGGGAGCCAAGGAATGCAACATACGCAGGAAAATGCGACGGCGCAATCGCCGCAGTGTTAGCATGCAAACAGGTAAAACTAGCTGCCACAAAAGCTGCAGGCAGACGTGACGCACCTGTGCACAGGGGTTTCTGCAGAGCTGCTTGTAGATCTGGTCGATGCTGTTGGAAACGTGCTCAAAGCACTCGTTGAAGAGCCGGAAGCGCCTGGTCTTCACCTGATGAAACTCCTGCTGGCAGCGGCGGGTCACCTTAGTGCTGGCATCAAAAGCTAAACGGTGGGGGGGGGCACAGGGATTCCCAAGAGGAGTAGTTACTGGTGTTCCAGCCAGTGGTGATTTTACTGGCAAAACTATGACAACTGAGAACTGAATAAATAAACAAATAATTTATGATGCCAAAAACCGAACAAAGATCCTATCTGTGACTCAAAAACCGTGATACAATTCGAACCGTGAATTTTGCGATTCAATGAGCCCTTAATGTCGGATATGTGAAAATACTTTCTAAAGTAGATTTGGTAAACGAAACTAGACAAAAAAAAAATAGATGCCTAAAATATGACTAAAACGAAACTGCATTGTAGTCAAAAGACTAAAACTAAATCAAAATACGCTGTCAAAATAATCACTGCTTCTAGCAAGAGCAAACCTGCCACCAATACCGCAGGTGTAAAACATGCACAGTTTATTCTTTACCGTTCGTTGGTGTGATAACACCAGCATCTCATGCAAAAAACAGCCATGCTCAAAGGGCCACCTCCTAAAAATCTACTGCGGTTCAATTTTAGCTTAACCAATCATCATGTTACATGTGCTTATTCAGATTATTAGGCTGGCACAATGTGTCATGTTAATATATACAATGCGTGTTATGGATGTGCAAATTGTCACATTGCAAGGACTGCAAATCAACTGGGTTGAGACCATCAAGTTTTGCTAAAACATTTTTACTCATAGGAAGCAAAACTTAGCAAGCTCTGCAATTTTAATGATTGCAAATTATCATCATACTACCTACCAGAAGCTACTTGCACCTAAGCCCATTTCAGTGTGTGTTTATTCAGTGCTAACTGAAGCCTACCTTCCACTATCTCATGGAACATCCCCTTGACCTCATTCATCTTCTGCAGGGCTTTGAGATCTGGTGTACCGGAGTGCTGGAGTGCTGTCTCCAGGGAGTCAAGTGTTTCCTGCAACTTTTCCAGTTCTGATTCCACTTCCTCCTCCCCTTCCAGCTCCTGCAAAAAACGACACATTAGAGTGATTCTATCAGAAACACCAAAAACAAGCCCAGCTTTTGCACAATGAGAGCTAATCTTTATAGGATAAAGACGATGGTGGCGATAGGAGGTAGTGCTATCGTTCGGCAACCAGAGAGTTGCAGGCTCGAGCCCTGGTTCCTCCTCAAGTGTCCTTGAGCAAGACACTGAACCCCAAATTGCTCCCGGTGTGCAGGTTGGCGCCTTGCATGGCAGCCTCCACCACCGGTGTGTGAATGTGAGTGTGGATGGGTGAATGTGAGGCGTGAGTTGTAAAGCGCTTTGAGTACTCATAGGAGTAGAAAAGCGCTATATAAATGCAGACCATTTACCATATTCCATAGACTCCCCAGTAATTTAACGTTAACATGAAGGTGATATCAATGGTGATGCCCACACTGATTACGGTACCTAAAACACTGCAGGTTATATATTGGGTATGATACATTCAGCAAATTATCCACAGTTTATGCCATGCGTTTGACTAGCATTCTGTCCAGGGTGACCCCTGTCTTTGTGTAATTTACATTTATTCATCTACCAGATAGTTGTGTCCAAAGCAATATACAAGTGAAGAAAGCCTGGTGTCAGAGAACAAGGACAGAGAGAGATGGTGTTGCTTGATTAGCCGTACCTGAAGTTCCCTTCTCAGTGCACTGTAATCGATGACCATCTGCCTCTCACGTTCGTAGATGTCAGCAGTGACTATGGTGGTCTCAGAGTCAAGCTAAACAGGATGAGATGGTTAAAATAACTATCGACGAATTACATTTTGTAAACCACTGTCCCACAAGAAAAAACAAATCAGGAAGATTAGGAAAAAATGTTACAGACCATTATGCTTCTATAATATTGTTAAGGCGAAGGTTATAGACAAGCCACATTCAAAGTGTCCTTTTCTACAGAATGCGATTCCCCTGTTGCTTCCTGTCTTCCTTCTCTCGCTCCCTCAATCTTCAGCCGCCGCTCAGTACCTGCTCCTCGCTGATGTCATCCATGGAGCCGGACAGCAGCGTTACAGGAAGGTCCTGCACCTTGCAGCTCAGCAGCAGGTTGTGTCTCTCGAGCTGCTTCTTTTCTAGCGATATCTCCACAGACATCAGCTCCCTCTGGAGCTTCTGCAGACCCCTGAGGAACAGAAGCCGTTACATCCCTCGGCGTATTGCGTATGCGCATGTCTGCTTGCTTGTTTTCCGCTTCATGTGTTTGTGCTCTGGTGTCACTGATTACTGCTGGAATAGGGTAGCTGATAGTCGACAGAAGAGTAAAAGGCATGTTATTGAAGCGGCTTCTTCTCACTCAGTCTGGCTTGTTGAAGCATTTATCTGAAGTCATCGGTGTTTCAATAAAACTCCCTTTTAGGGTTAAAACTGTTCTCAGATACTCTTCTTTTGTTATTAACCCAGAGCCGGTTCGTAACAGGCAAGTTCTGGTGAAACAACAAGTACGTGTCCACATGGCCCTGATAGCACTAGAGGTCCGTTTGGAGCAGTGTGTGGTTCTGTGGGGTAGGAGTCTGTACTCCAGTGCAGAAGGTTGCTGGTTTGAATCCTGTGGCTGGCAGAGTAATCAAATCACTGCTGGGTCCTTCAGCAAGGTCCTTAACCCGAAAAACTGCTTAGAGTGTATAGAAAAATGGCTAACCCAGTGCTCCGGCCCCATGTGTGTTTCACAGGAGAGAAAGACGAGAATTGTGAAAACAAAACGATTCCTACATATTTACATTTTTATTTAGCAGATGCTTTTATTCAAAGAGAAGTACAACTGAGAAATCAGGGTCAGTTGGTCTCTGGGCCAGCTGGGGTTAATAGGCCTTGCTCAAGGGTCCAATGGTGCAATCACTCTGCAGAGCCACATCGCCCCCTTGTGCTTGTGCAATGATGTGCAGTATCATTGATGATTGAGGGAAAGAGAATGTGGTGCGGTACTGTGGTAATCAGGGCAACGCAGCTTTCGGGCTGCTGTGCTTATTGTGATGGACTCCCCTTCATTCCAGCTTCCCCACGGGGCTCTCGCACCTGGAACACTCCTGCCGCCCTGTCACCTTCTCATCCAGCCTGGCGTTACATTTGCTGACCAGGGACTTCTGCCCGAGCATAGAGTTCCTCAGCTCCTGCACTTTAACTATGATCTCATCCAAGCCCTTCATCAGCTGCTCCTCCTCCTTGGAGGAGACAGAACATCAGGCATTACACATATGTTGATGCTGGCACACATATGCAGGCGTCCATACACCTTCTGTCCCATTTATTCTTAGGTTTTAACTGTCCCTGTATCTCTCTAAAGATGTTGTGAGAACATGCAGTGTGGGATGGAGAATTGCCTTCTTCAGCTGGGAGACTCTCTGCTCGCCCTTGCGGAGGGTGTCTTCCCACTCGCGGATCTTCCCCTGGCTCTGCTCAAGCTGGCTCTGCTCGAACTCTAGCTGGGTGGTCAGGCGCGTGTGCTGGGTCTCAAACTGCAGCCTGTGACGGAGAACAGACAGACAGGAAGGAGAAAAGGGAAAAGAGGGGAAGAAGAAAGTGTTTCATAACAAAGCTAAATATTATATAAGGATGTAATGCCAAAATGGTCAATGGTGCCAAAGGTAACCATCCATCCATCCATCCATCCATCAACTGATCCCAGTCAGGTTCACAGCGGAGTTGAAAACAGAAATAAATAAATGCAGCAACTAAACTGGAAAAAAATGACTGAAATCCAGTTGGTTTAAAACATACAAGAATGAATATAAATAACAAAAATTCATTTATGGATTCCTTGAGAAATTTCAAACAATTCCAAAATATCAAACACATCATTATGCATTCTGTACAAAGACTGCACCATCGACCCTTCATCCTGAAGACTGCACTGGATGCCAGTCCATCGCAGACCTCCTACTACTGTGAACAGGCTCGGCAATCGCTGTCAACCATTTTGCTACCTCTTGCTGTCCGTTTCCTGCTGCTGTTTCAGATGCTCTTGCTCATACTCGCGGATGTTTGCGACGCCGATTTCAGCACAGAAATCAGAGAACACTAGGTCGTCCACCTGGAGAGAGCGTGGGAACATGCGCAGTGCGAAAAAGGCCAAAACTTACACCGAGACTGCCGAAGCTAGAGCGGCAGGAATCACCAGGGCAAACCTACCCACACCAAATTAAGCTCTCAGTACGTAACTCTGATCACAGAACATGAAACAGAGCAAAGGGAAAGGAGAGTAAAAATCCATCATTTGTCATCTTAAGGTACCTCATTCAGCTTAGTCTGAAGATCCTGTATTTTTTTTCCCTTCAACTCCAAGTTGTCCTTCTGCATTTGAATCTCTGACTCCAGATTGAGAAGTATACTCTCCAGTCTAGACTTCTCCTGTGTCATGGGCAGAACTGGATGCTTTCTCCAAAATATATACTACTTTGGATAAAAGTGTCTGCTAAATTAATGTGAATGTCTTACATTACATTTCAAGGTACAGATGCTGATGTCCGCAATGTGTGCAAGCAGGACACAGAACAGCCACGCGAGCGACGGCGGAGGTGCGATGGCATTACCGCGAGGCAGGCGGGGATGTTCTTCTTGCGGATGGCATCCAGCTCACTGAGAGAGAACTTCAAGCGGGTCTGGATGCCTTTGAGCTGAGTCTGCACCTGCTTCAGCTCTGCCTCCTTATGCTTCAGCTTCAGCAGAGTCTGTCACGTCGCACGTGGCACTGTCACGTCATGCTGCCCTGACCCGCACTCATCAATTTACCTGGCTGCCCAATACGGGCAATACCCACGTTACAAACAAGATCTGATCTCCAAGTCTGTCTTTAAGTCGAACTTGTAGTCAAGTCAGAAAATTAATAATACAGTACATAATACTACTGCTTGCATTTAAAAAATTGAAGGAAATTCAGATACAGCAATTAAGAGATTAAAGCAGACAGTTTATAAGGACATACATTTATGATTCCCAAATGCTAGCAAATATACAAGACATTTAAAACTCACTGACCGAACAAGCATTTCTCTTAATAATTACACGATTAAAAGGCCAACCAAAATGTTTCATGTATTTGTCACTAGGGGGCACCAACTGACTTAATGACAATAGAGAAATATCTAAATAAGCACACATATACCAGAGCATCTGAAGAATTTTGCATAGAATGACACGTCTTGAGATTTGCTATACAGTAAAATAGTTTCTTCTGCTAAAATCTGACACTTTGAAACGCCCAGATTTTACCTCTCTTTAGCGTATATATACTGTATATATACAGTGTGCTGCCCACAGTGGTATTATTTATCGTTAATTACTGCTTAAACTGGCTTCCCATCCAGGATGTACCCCTGCCTTTCGCCCTACGCTGCCTAGGATATGCTCCCGATTGGGAAAAATGGATGGATGGAAGGATGATCATTATTTATGGCTGTTTTGTATTGATTGGCACTAGTCTGAATGATGTATACAGAATTTCACTGTATTACATACACAAAACAATTAACCCTAGATACAAAGGTTAAATTTTAACATAATGGCACCATTAAAAGAAAATGTTGTTTTTGAATAAGAACAAATTTTCCCTGATAATAATTTAAGTTTCTGTCATTGAACGTGGTCCTCGGATTTTTCCAGAATCCTCTCAAAAATGTCCAAAGCACATGATGGGCCATTTTTTTATTCAGAGGCATACCTGCACATGGTGTCACAACTGTACTTACCTCCTGTCCATAATACAACTAAAATGCCTTATCTAAATTAAGTCATATTTCAATAAATAACAAATACGAAATCGGCTATTAAAAATGGAAATAAATTTGATACAAACATTAACCATTACAATTTGATCTGGTGAACAGAAGATGAAGTACAATTTCCCTCATAACTCTATATCTAGAAGCTAAGTCTTTCTTTAATAGCGATGATGCCACCTACAATGAGATTTCACAGCATGCAGTAGTGGGATAAACCGCGGTGTTCTCTGAGAAAACGAAATACCAATATGATCAATGGCCTCAGGGCAGGGCCCAAGGCACAAGAGCAATAAGGGACTGCTTAGAGCCCAGTGGCCACCAGGGGGCCCCCACATCTAAACAGCCTGTCAGAATCATATTTGAAAAGGGTGGGACCAACCTTGAATGGCCTAACCCAATCATGAACCTGAAACAGTCTTATAGTGAGAGCCCAAACGTTCTATGGAGAGCAGGTGAGGCTTCAGGGAGCAGCACGCAGATGCAGACACTCGCGCGCAGATGCAGACACTCGCGCGCAGATGCAGACACTCACGTGCAGCTCTGCTGTCAGCTGCTCACGGCGCTCCTTCAGCTTGCCCATGACCTTCTCATCCCAGCGCCGGGCTTTGCTCCGCAGGTCGCTGGCACCCCCAGAGATGGCCCCCGACTTGAAGAACATGGTCCCATCCAATGCCACCGTCTACACATCCCATAGAACCTCAGCGTCAGCGTCTTCATCATCATCAGGCTTGTTTTCATTTGTCACTATATAAGAGCAATTAGCCTTGGGCAGTATTACAGCATATGGCAGAATTTTGGAATCTTTTTGAGCTGGGGGGGGCGTCACCCACATTGTGCTTATTTCTGTATCCATATAGTAGCTCCTAAGTTCTTCCTTATTCTGTGTGCCTGAGTAAACTATCAGAAAACAGTTCCAATACCTTTGAAGTTAGTTACCTGTCACTGGGATTGTATCCTCAAGGGTCTGCCAACTGTACCTTACCACAGGTAAAAGTACCTTTAAAGGTATAGAAATGGACTCGGGAACATTTTCATACCATCTGGGTACATTAATGTTGTTTGTACTTTAGGGTACAAAACTGTACCAGGTTTGTACCCTTTATTCTGACAGTGTGCTGTACTGAGATACACTGGCACTGCTTAAAGGTGAGAATCTTGTCACTGGGGATTCAGTACAGGGTTTTTCAACGTTTCACCGTAGTAAAACCCGAGGACAGTCGTGGTGACGGAGCTGAGGGGGGCGGACTTTCCAGGCGAGTGGCCCCGCATATTTACCTTGAGGCGCTCGGGGCCCCCGAAGGCAACATGCTGAGCCTCCTTGACGGTGTCGCACACGAGCGTGTTCCCGCACACGAACTGCACGGCCCTCCCCAGCGAGGCGGCGTACTGCACCACGTCCACCACCATCGTGGCCCCGCGAACCTCCCGCAGCCGCTCGTTCAACGCACTCACCTGTGGCGGTGGCATTGCGGCATGCGCGGTTACTGTCTCACATCGTCTGAGAGCTCCGCATGCACGTAACATTTGGCCAGTATTAAAGCAATAATACGGCATAGCATAGTATTTTGGGTATATCATGATATTTTGAAATCCTGATAATCATGGGCACAAAGCAAATTTCATCGGCAAGATTTCAAAAATACCGGAACATCGAAAATCCTATCAAAATACCGTACAGCGCAGTATAACGTCTGGAAGGTATGACAGCATGAAAAACTTTCCACCACCTATGTCTAGCTCCGATCTTTACAATTACCTGGTTTTTCTATTTGTCTGTTTCATGTGACCAGAGTTAAAAGTAAATTGCACCTTTAAGGACATACAAGGACAAATTAACATTCTATTCCTCAAAAAAGCTAAACCTGTTTTCACTCACAGGGACCAGCAAAGGTACAAGGAAACTACAAGCACTTTATGAAATATACTTTTTCACAACTTCAACTGCCCTACAAAGGCAAAACATAGTAACTATGCTGACAGTGAAACAGAAAAGAGTCTTTTTGGATGTCTACCTGTATGTATAGTCAGTAGGTAAATGACAATGTACTTTTTAAATATGTAATTAAAAAAAAATCAAGCATAGCTGAGATAAAACGGTGCCTGAGAGACCCGATTTTGGTCATAACTCAATTCTGATAGTTTGTACTTGCAGTGTTTAGCCTTTGTATGGCAGTATACACCAAACATGCTAAAAGTCACACTGCAATACTACATGCCAACACCAACACAGGAGGAGGAAGCGAAGCGTCAGCCGTGGCCCCCTAACTCACATCGAGGTAGTCGAGGGGGAGGAAGGTCTCCGGCTCGGCCCTCTCCTGCTTCAGAAACCTGATGCAGTCGCGTGCCGCCTTCTCAGACGCCACGACGATGGCATTCATGTATCGGCCGAACACTTTGGTCACCGCCAGCTGGTACTTCTTATGGATCGGATGGCAGAGGTCTGACAGACGGCCGATCTGCAGCATGGGGACCGGGAGGGGAGGGCGTGGCCATTAAACACTCTTAAATAAAATCAACCTGCTACAGACATAAAGGAACAATTAGCGAAAGTCACACACAGCACCAATCCATCCACCTTACAACTGCTTATCCTGGTCAGGGCTGTAGGGAGGCCTGAAGCCTATTCCAGGCAACACATGACACAAGGCAGGGTGGTATTCCAGCCTATCAGAGGGCAGATACACATATATACTCCCACATGCACACTACTGCATTCAAAGACAGCTATTTAGCCTAACTGCATGCTTTTAGAGAGTGAGCGTAAACTGGAGTGGCTGAATGGAACACGCATAAGACAAACATGCAAACTCCACACATACACACACACACACACGTTTGGATTCATATCTTTGTGGGGACTGTCCATTCATTCCTATAGGAAAACCGTAATCCCAACTATGACAACCTTAATTCCTACCCAGCCCTAACGTTAACCATAGGTAACCAAACAAAATACAAGACATTTGGAATTTTTCATTGTTTGATAGCAATCAAAGATTTTTATAAAACTGAATTTTGAACACAGCTGGGTTTGATCAAACATAATCACAAATTTGTTTTATTTATCTAACACTATTCTAGGGAGAGATTAAGCACTTTTGATGGCAAAGGCTCAGGGCATATTTTATGGACATAAATACAGAATGAATCCCCTTCACATATGCGAGGGTTAAGATGTGAGGCATAACCAAGCCAAGACTTTTCATTTTAAAGATACAGTATGACCTTACACCAATAAATATTATTTCCCACTAATATTTATATATTACATGATTTTATGTGACCCAAATCATTTTAGTATTGTTTTTGGCTTATGTCTCCCCCGCGAGTTTCTGTGATGTTCAAGCGAGCTCCAAAAATATTCCCATTTAATTGTTCACGGCCAACTCACAAAGAAGCGAAACCGGGAACGTCAAGTCCATGAATGTGAAGGAGTTACTATATGTCCTTTGGATTCTGTACACAGCCTCTGGGAATGAACAGAATGAACCTCTCGTCACTGTATGGAAGCGGAAGGCATGAGGGTTACTGTACCAGGGTCTCTGGGTAGAGCTTCCTCAGGCTGTCCAGCATCTCGCTGCGGCGCTGCTGCCGCCGGCTCTCGTGGCCGTCGACGCAGGCGTTCTGCAGCTCCTCGATGGCCTCGGCCAGCTCCCGATCCACCTCCCGGCTGCGAGCGCGGCCCTCATCCAGCGCCACCCGCAGACTCTCCTCCAGCTGTTGCTGTTCAGCCAGAGTGGCACTGGGTAGGGAAATTGCGGGTGGGGGTACTGGGAATCGTGGCATGCCATCTTATACGCGCACACAGGACGGCTGATCGCTCTCAAACACACGGAGACCACAGCGGTGACACACCTGCAACTGCTGCTGTATTTCCCCAGCTTTTCGGCTCTGCTGCTGCACTCCTCCAGCTGTGCCTGAGTGTGCTTGATGCTTGCCTTTGAACACAGGTGTACTCAGTGCAGGGCTATCAGACAGCGACCATCTCAGCAACTGAGATATTCAAAATTAAGCGATAAACACTGGCTATGAAGTACCAATTAAACACTTATACTTGGATCCCTGCAATCATTCATCAGTCCTTAATGTCATGGGCAAACAAGCAGGGACACACAAACACAAAGAATTTAGGCACAGGAATACCTCCACTTCCTTCTTCCTCCTCTGGTCAAACTCCAGTTTTCCCCAGTCAGCCTTCACCTCCCAGCGAAGCTTCTCCACCGTCTGCTTCAGGGTGGAGCCCTGCTTCCTGGACAAGTCCTTCAGCTCTTTGTAGTGTTCCAACTGGGCCAAGACACACACACACACACACACACACACACACACACACACACACGGCTTTAATTTCATTTTCAACTGTGTTTCTGGGACATGTTACTGAAAAGCTAAAAATCATTAGCAAAACCTAAGACTGACCATAAAATATGACACATGTAGTGTATTTATTCAGTATGTATTTCCTGTGATAGTTTTCAGCAGGCTTTGTAGATTTTTAAATAATATTAATTATAGATGCAAAATAAAACTATTAAGATATCAATTTATCGGTTATTAAATTAAACACATAAAACTACTTTGCTGGTTGACTCATAGATCAAGGCTCTCCTCCATGCTCAGGTTGAGAAGATTAGCAAAACCACCATGGGGTTTTTAACTGCTAAGCGCGCTCTTAAGTCAGTCTGGGACACACCGAGTCTAATGCCAGGCTTTTTACTTATTGCACTCTTATGTAAAAACATTTCTTTATATGTTGTCTTGCATATAACATAAATTAAGCAAGTGACACCCAAAAACAATGACGATAACTAATCATTAAGACATCATCCCATTCTGGGTGTAACCCGTCTCCACAATGTTGTCCAGAATGGGAGATGGATGGAAAAATGGAGGGAATACTGAGCACTACTGGTTATGTTAGGGTATAAAGTGGCTAACCAGCTAACAGCTGGAATTCCTAATGCTGACAGCAACCAGCTGCTGTTCCCACCATTTTCACCAACTCTGACCCCCACCTGGGCCTCTGCCAGCTCCACAGTAACACCCCTGGGGGCTTCCTCCTTTTGCGCCTCCTCCTCAAACTGTCTCCAGGCACGGTCCAGCTGGGCCAGCTCAGCACGCAGCTCCTCCAGCTCCTGCTCCTTCCTGCGCTGCTGCTGAAGCGCCCCCTGCAGGGAGCTTTGTGCCGAACCCAGCTTCCGCACCTGGTGCGCCGTCTGCTCTTTGGCCTTGACATACTGAGACCTACGGTGGGCCTGTGTCTGGTCCTCCATGCTGGCCACACGCAGGAGAACAAGTGTAGGAGAAGAAATGTAGCAGCAGGGAATATGAAGGGGAATCACGGTCCACATATCCAGATGCTCCTTGCTTTACGATAAGTCAGCCTATGGTATTTCGAACTTCATGCGATAGCGATATATGTTCAGCAGTCATTTGAAATTTGAATCTCGATCTGTTCCTGGACCAGCGATATGTCGTACGATACTTTCTACTGATGCCAGGCAAAGCAGCATCCACTCAGTCACGCCTCCAGAGTCTGAAACGATCGCCAGTGTAAACATCTCATACAGTGCTTAACAACATATCCTACTGTTTTTTTCCCTGTGTTTAACTAAAATTTTCTCAAGCCCATTATGTCTACTAAACGCCCAAGTGTGTCGTATCGTATCACATCATATTCAACTTATAATATTTTCAGCTTACGGTGGGTTCATAGGAACGTAAAGTCGAGGTGCATCTGTACTCTCAGAATAGTTACGTTATTACCCGACAGATTAATCGTTATGCTAATACCGACTAATATTAATTAACATATTGTCCACTAAGCTGCTTAGTTAAAAAGGCATTGCATAACATGTCAACAGCTGCTCTCACTGTATTCCTCAAAAAACGTAAGTGTTGATGTGTATTACGACACAAGTTCTGATACAGGAATATTCAGGAATATCACTAATTCACAGATATCAAGTACTTCAAATACCAAAAAAATAAAATAAAATCATATCTGTAAGTGGTAACAGGGAGACCTGGCGATAAGCTTATAGCAGAGTAAAGTTCTCAGTACGCAGCAGCACACACCGGACTTCCTTCTCGATCTTCTGCAGGCCCCGGGTCACATAGCCCAGCTCCTTCTTCAGGGCCTGCATACCCTGTTCCCACAGCACAAGGCCGCTCTTCTTCTCCAGGACCAAGGCCTGCCAGTGCTGCCGGGAGACCTGCAGGGCATCCAAGTCCTTCTCGTTATGAAAGAGCCGACACTGGATCAGCTGCGCCTTGTTCTGGTTCAGGTCATCCACGAGGGCCTGGTACCGCTGCACCTGGAGAACAGAAGAGGAAAGGGGGTCTTGTCTTTCACGGAAATGCTACCTGTGGCAGAAAAACAGGGGCGGCATGTGGGCTAGAATGCTGAGCCTGTGATTGGAAGGTTGCCGGTTTGAATCTCAGGGTCAGCTGAGTGAGGCCTTTAACCCCAAACTGTCTGACCATGCCTTCTCACATCATTGCAACGTAAAAAGACTGCCTGTTATACATGCAAGATTTGATGCATCATTCATCATCACTGGAGCCACTACGCTCCTCTCCTTCCCCCATCCCGACTCTTCACCTCCTCCTTCACTTGTGAGGCGTGCTTCTTCTCTGCAGCAGCTGTCTTCTTCTTCTTGAAGTGGAACTGCGTGTCCTCCTTGGCCCTCAGTAGGGCTTCCTTGGCCTGGATGTATTCATCTGCCAGCTCCAGTGAGCCGCTGATGCGCTCAAACACGCGGCTCATCTCCTTGGCGCTCTTCATAGCGATCGACTCCACCGTCCCCTGTCAGTAGAAGCCGCCCCATAAAGACACAAACTCACAGTAAAGCCCCTTGGTGCTTCTGCTGTATTCATACAGGATTAAATGTGCTTATTTCAGCTTTGGAAATGGGTGTATTCATTTAACACCTGAGTCTTCCTAATTCCTCAGAATGATCACCAACGTATGTTCACCTAATTCCTCAACAAGACACACCCCAGTTAGATTAGACGTGCTGGCCTAGAGTGATTACTAAGGTGGTCAGTCACCACGACTGGTAAACTGTCCAGACTTCTGTCAGTAACTCAGATTATCACACCACTCTGCTTTGTAACTAAACTCTTATTCTTACCATTTTATACTGTTTTGTGTTTCTTTGTATTATATATTTCCCTTCAAGCACAATTCTGGAAGTAGGTAGAAAGCATTTCACTACAAAGATGTAGAGTGTACGAATTTGTATGTGACAAATAAAACTTTAAACTTGAAACCATGCCATGGCAAGAAAGCAGCCTTCCAGGGGTGAAGTTAAAGTGGACTGTGTACAGATCCTTGCCTGGAATACCAGACAGTTCCTGGCTTTAATTAGCACTCCGATCTTCTGTAGCGCGGACGTGTACTCAGTAAAGGTGACCAGTTTGCCACTGACTCGATATTCCGATGCGTCTCCTGCAAAAAATAAAAATAAAAACCACACACACTAACCATCCAGCACAATACCGGCTGGAAAGCCACTGAGATGGCGGCGAATTCTGGGGTGAATCTCAATACCAAGAACGCAAAGGCCATACTTGTTGTCTTGGCAAGAGTGGTCTTGGTGTCGTTCCACAAGGATGCAACTGATGCATCCTTGATATTTGGGGTAGGGCAAAATAGACATCCGGGGATTTTTACCGTCCTCTGAACTTCTGTTCTAGAGTATTGGGACTAGTCTTCGGCAGTGGAAGATGACGTAAAACAGGTACACGAGAATACAAGTATAGTCAAGTACACACATTGAGATTCACCCCTGCAGTTTCTGTCATGGAGGCCATACCTGCGACAGTCCTCTTGAAGATGATCTCCTCACCGTTGTCTTCGCAGTAGACCATGGAGACACTGGCGGTCCCGGCCACGGGCCGGCCTACGTGGGCCCCGCAGATCAGCTCCCTGGCCTGGCGCACCCGCAGTGCAGCCGCCCGCTCTCCCATGACGAAACCCAGCGCATCCATCACGTTAGACTTACCTTAAAAGTCCCAAAAGAAACGGACAGCCTTACCAGTCTCAATAAAAAGCTTTTTAATGTAATACTCAAAGATGGCCACGAGCCTGTCAGGAAATGCAGTTACAGCGTACCGGAGCCGTTTGTGCCAATGATGCAGGTGAACTGCTTGAACGGCCCGAGGACCTGCTTCCCGCGCCAAGACTTAAAATTTTCAACTTCTACCTGTTTCATATAGCCCATCTTGTTGTTTTAGTGCTGTGTCCCAAAGAAAAGCTCTATATCGCGGTAAATGTATGATAAAATTAAGCTGTCGAACTGCTAACGATCCACTGTAGCGTTGGGCTGCGCATGCCCCCTGAGGGAGATCGTCCTCGCGGCTTTTCGGAGCTGCGCAATATCGCGCCTTTTCTGCTGCTTGTCTGTTTTATATTAATAACCTTGTGTGACAAAATGCAATGATAAATATTCCCTAGTTAGCAGCCAAATGATTTGCTACATCCAATGCAATACACATTTTTCATTTGGTCATTATGTGGAAGCGTTAGTTTTCCTGAATTTTAACTTAACCACACTCGGGCCTACTATAGAACAGGCCTACTAGAATTAAACACAAGGGAGTATTACTGTATTTCGTGAATAATAATGTATGTCATGATTCACAGCTCTTGGTAAGTAAAATCCCAAAATGTGGGATAAATTAAGAATACACGTCCATGAATTTAAATACAAAATGCAGTCTATTTTGAACTAAGTTAATAAACCTGTAGCAAATAAGGACAGCATGCCACTGTATTGCGCCTGCACCATTAAGAGGCATTTTTGTGTTGGGTTTGCCTGCCAGATTGGGATTTGGAAATTATAAGTTAACATACTAAGGGGTGGAAAACTGGGCATTAGGATTTATTACAACGACAGCAGATATTTAAATCACAATGCTCTGCTAATAAATGTTTATGATCATAATTAATGTTTTACCAGAGCGAAATTAACACATAATTCCTAGCACTGATTTAGCAAGTGTTTTATGCAGTGAATATTTGCAGTAAAAACAAGTAATGGTTAAAAGGTTATGCGATAATCTATTAATTTCCCCACAGATGTTTGTTGTTGTAGTCGTAATATTTTTAGTAAAGAAAATTTTGTTCTCAGTGTAGCCAAAGTGACAACGTTGACCGAGCAGTTATTCACTTAGACAAACAGAACAACACATTACGTAACTGTTTTGGTTCTATTAAAAACTGCGGGAAAAGTAGCGTGGAGTTAGCAAGAATCCCGGTCACGTTGCATGTCAACGTGACTGGCCATCTGAAACGATTCCAAGGAAAAACGTGATGCAGGCAAAACATGGGAATATGTGTCAAAGGGGCGAGCAGGGGTGGTAAACTATGTCTGCCAAGAAATCTGACCTACTTCTGAATGCAATGTCCCATGTGCCTTCTGCAGAAACGACTGCAGCTATTGGGGGGAAAAGAAAACTTTCCAAAACAATAGAGTGACTAAGAAGTTCACTTGGAGCACAGAAAAAAAAAAAGTTTTGTCGAAGCGCGAGAATGTTTACAGATTATTCAAAAAGTAATGCAAAAATACCCGTGTGCGTGATTTCTGCAACGGGGGAAAACACTGGAATTTAGTACTGGCATAGAGCAATAATAGTTCCTGCACTGTTTAAAAAAAACTTTCGTGGCGGAGTTGGTTGCTTAAGAATGCAGCCGTATTCGGCCATTGAAAAAGTTTCTCTGGCCCTCATCCAACTCACGAAGCGAGCTCGCTGTGAAGGCGGTCACGTGATTAACTTAACAGTAGGACGTCCCCTTCCTTCCAAGATCCATAACAAACAAGGCTAGTATAAGACTTTCAGATCGCCCAGGGACAGCATCTTTAAGTGTTTCTTGCATCCTCTTTTGGAGCCTGTCAAGGATCTTGATTTGCTTCGTGGCGTGGCTAAACAGTCTGCAGTGCTGCACGCACAGTAATTTAAATTGTGGTCGACTATCTCCTGGGTTTACTCCGTGTCGAAAGGTAAGAGAAAACACCTAGCTTCTATTTTACCGTGTTGTTTTGTAGTAATGTGATGATCGACATTTTATTTTATTAAAACTGTACTCGTTCTTACAAAGTAACAACATTTTACTAAGTGGGCTGCAAGCTACAACAAGGTTATACTTAAACGTTAGCAAGTTTGAATTTTAAAATTGGACCAGGCTCAAATATTTTTACCTGGAAAAAGGGAGGTATTTCGGTATACTGTAGCAGTTCTTATATATCGAATCACTTGTTTTCCGTGCTTGACCAGCCTTTCTGCAAATGAAAGCATTGCAATGGATTTTGGAGTGCGTCATTTGTACTTTAATGTGCAGATATCTTTTGAACTTGTTTATTCATGTTCTAATTATTTGCGAGAATAACGTTTTGTGTAGTTTAATTAGGGGCATAACGGATTTTTTATTTTTTTTTACATGGGATTAAACATAGTGAAGGTTGTGTGTCACTGTGTTGTTGTGGGTTTTTGAGGCTCCTAGTAGTAACTCGATCCCCGTACCGCGCCCACTTTTCTACGCAAACAACTTTCACTTCTTTCGGAGGGGGTACGTACTGAGCTACTCGTAAAAATGATTAGCAAAAATTACGGGAAAGTGTTGAAATAAAGCAAAAAAATACCGTGCACATCGGGCAGTCCTGAATTTTAAAAGCTTGATAAGCTTTTGAAAATTAAACTGATACTTGACAAAAATGGACACTAACAGTTGTCCGTAGAACGTACTGTTTTTCGCAAGCAAATTATACGTTATAGATTAAAAAACCTAAACAGTACATTTAAAAGTTTGTGCTTCAGGTACAGAACAGAGACGAGCCTCACTACTGTAGTAATACAGTAAAGATTACAAATGATTGCGATGCATTAATATATATTTACAAACATATAGAACTTCTCGTTCGAACACTCAGTTTTTTCAAGTTGCACTGGGTCTTGGGAGTGGCCTAAGCCCACCGCAGGCAGCGTAGGGTACATCCTGGACAAGATGTCATTGCACCACATGGCACACGCACCAGTTTGCCTAACTGCGTGGTCTTGGGGTGCGCGAGGAAACCCGCGAGACGCTGGGAGAGCGTGCAAAGGCCACGCGCAGAGCGAGCACGGCTTTCGGACCCGCGGCAGAGGAAACGCGAGTCTGCCCAGGGTGCCGCCCCTTCACGCTTTCACTATGTCAACTGTTAAGTGTAATAAAAAAAAATGCGTCACACGGGCTCTGGCGATTTTGAAGTCTGCTTAGATACTAAACCACGCATAATTGTGGTTACAGAAGTTGCTATGTGTTTGAGGAAGTATGCATGTGAAAAATTACTATTAAAATTAAAATCGTGTTGGTAGAATGCACTAATTTTAACCCTTCATTATGTACTGATGGCCTGTATGGCCCACTCGCTTTATGAAAATAAGGGGCCTGAATATATTTTTCTGCGAGCCTACTATAGGCCAACCCGAAACCCTAGAACTAATCATCCCAACAAACATTTTTTCGATATTATTTTAAATGAGGAATATGCACACTACCCGTCATGTTTTCTGAAACACCATCCCGAATGACGCAGTATTTATTTTTTTTATCTTGAAACCAGTAAATTGAGTTATTGAATCGCGGCCCCCCGCCCCCCGTGGAGCCTTGTTATCCCGGAATAGCTGATTGTGAGCAGGGCTCTCTCTCTCTTTTTTTTTTTTTTCTTTTTACCGCCGCTCACTCGCCCTCCGCACTTTGCGCCCCTTTGCGCGCCGCTTCTCCCTCAGTGACAGGCCGTTACACGAGTCCCCGCCGCGGTAGCGCGACCGGCGCGAATAGGGGTTTCCTAAGGAGGCAAATCAGGCACCACGATGAGCAGCGGCGACTCTGTTTCCACCAGGGAAACACCCCTTTCAGGCAAACTTTCAGGGACACACTCACACGTAACGTGACAGGTAGCCGGAGCTTCATTTCATTTAATTTTTAATAATAATTTCTATTATTTCGACTTGCATTTTCATTATTATTGCAAATACAGTGTTATGAAGGTAGAGCTATTTTAGTTTAAAAATTAACTAATTTTTATGTAATTTCAATGTCAGATGTTTTGGAAATGTCACGGTTTTTTTTTTGGGGTGGTCTTCATTTAGTTTTGCCCCACTACAACTACTGAACTCGTTATGGAATAGGTTTATATGGAAATGTCGGTCGTTTGGATAGGTGAAATTTAAAACTAAGTTTGTATGGGTGAATAACTGATTAAACTTGAAAGAGTAAATTACCTTAAACTTGGGGGTTGTGTTAATCAGAAAAATCAATAGTTAGTACTGTATAATGCCATACTTAAGCGATATGAATTGACTTTAACTGTAAGTTACGCTAGCATTCTGTTGCCATGGCTACATTAATTGTAGCCCATTAGTGCTGGCAAATCTTCATGGTTTATGATGGATTATGTTATTATGGAGAAAAGCTCCTCGCACATATTCTGGGTTTAATTTAGTATAATTTATATATAATTTGCTTAAATTAACCCTGTGTTTTTTTTTTTTTTTTTTTGATCCCATAACATTTACCTGGGCTAACTTGAGTGCTAATGCGTGTTTTTTGAAGGACTGTATATACAGGTATAAAATCGTATATAGCAGGGGGTTTTTTTTTCAATGCACAAATACCATTACTAATTTATTATACTTACCCTTAAAATATTTTCTTAATGGCCTGTTTTTCAGCACATTCTATTTGTCTCTCTTCTATTTAATTTGATTGCACTACAAGCACCTGTTTGCACTATGTGTGTTTATTTGTGCTCTACGTAATTGCTGCTGTGCACACCAGAATTTCCCCGTGGGATCAATGAAGCTTATCTTAATTTCAATCTTAATCTGTATAACATGCCACATGGTACAGATGAGTATCGCCAAGATCGCCCTTTTGGTGCCGCCCCTCAGGAACATGGCACTGACCTCGTCCGACCCCGTGGCCGCGCCCGTCCACGTGGAGGACGCCAAGCCGCGCACGGCGCGCCGGAACCTCTTCGGGCCCGTGGACCACCAGCAGCTGCAGCAGGACTTCCAGCAGCTGCTGTGCATGAGCGTGGAGGAGGCCACACGTCGGTGGAACTTCGACTTCCAGCGCGAGCGGCCCATGCAGGGCGCCACCCAGTGGGAGGAGCTACGCTGCTGGGACGTTCCCAAGTTTTACCGCAGCTGCGTGGTGAAGGGTGGCTGCATGGGGTCCCGGCCGGAGCTCTTCGGGGAGGAGCGGGGTCCCGGTAGCCCAGCCGCGGGAGGCTACCTGGAGATAAAGGCTAGGGAGACGTACCGGAGCCGCAAGCCGGAGAAACGGTCATCTGCCCCTGACGCGCTCAAACAGAAGCAGGCCGCCATTACAGGTGAGTGGGCTCCTCCAAGACACACTGGCTAGGAATCCAGGGGCTCATGCTTTAAAATAGTATGTCCTCTGAAGTTATACAAGACGACATCTGATTGGTTAGACCCGCCTCCTCTGCAATCTGATTGGTTCTCTCTCTACAATTATTTTTCATCCTGCCCTGAGAAGAGTAAAATTCCCCATGCGCATCAAGTGTAGCAACACCAAGCCAATATTACCCCCTACCTGAAGGGTAACCTTTGGGACATAAAGGACAGGGCCGCTCTAAAGCACAGGCTCACCCAGGCTGATGCACAGGGGCCTCTGGTAAAGAGAGGCCTCAAATAACCATTTGATAATATTTTAAACTTGGAGTTGCCACCCTTCCCATATTGAAAAATAAAATGTGAAATGCCAATCTGCTGGGACTCCCAAATTGGAATTTCCCCCTTCTCATCACCAGTCACCCCCCCACGGTCAATAACTTTTTCATTGTCGCCCCCCCCCCCAGTCCGGCCGTGCATAGAAACTAAGGGGTACGGGGCCATCTGCCAACTCAAACACACTCTGACCATGTTGACGTCCCTCGGCGTGTGGGTATTATATATTCTGGGAAACAGTCTGGGCGGCATACATGGGGAATAGCACGATGGAGGAAGGTGAAACTGGAAGCGAAACTGACTGGTATATATGGGAATTCCCATCATCAAGGAAAGTGAAACTATGGGGATCCAAAGTGGTGGCACATAATTCGGTATCTAACAAACCACGCTGTTTCTCACCTCACCAGACTTCTTCACTGTGAAGAAGAGGCGACTCCTCCACCCGAAAGCCTCCACCCACCAGTAGAGACGCCTTGCAGAGACAGAGGGAATCATGGAGCCATGAACACGGCAGTCTTTGTACATAGGCCTGTGTATATACTTCCTGTATATGTATCGAATCTAACTGACAGTGTGAGTCCATATACTGTAATATAGGCTTCAAAATGGCACAGAAACCCATTTTCAACAACAAAAAATTCCACATGGAAACTTTCAGGGGGTCTTTTCTGCACAGTGAGACCTCAGAATGTTTTATTTTTTTGCAATATTTTCCCCACATATACTGTGAAAAAAGCACCTTGATTTTTCAGAAAACAGTACAATTTTAACAATTAAAGGATACATGTCCTTTTTGCATTCCAGAGTTTTAAACCTGGGCACAGCGCCGAATTAAGAACTCCATTACCCAGGCTGCATCTGTGTCACCTGCTCATTCTGACAGGTGCCTAACATGTAGCGCTGTCTGACATTTCACGCCAAGTTTAAAACTCCTGCACAAAATTACCAGTCGACTGCAAGGTCAGAGTCTGACACTAGACTGCATGACTGCAAATTTACGGTGAATTCTGGCCGCAGTTCAGACAATCCAAGCATCAGTGCCCTTGTAATGCGGCCTGGGAGATCCCACTCACAAAGTTGTGTATATATAGTGTATATAAGAGGTATTTTAGATATCCTCATTGATAGCTGAGCCATTGCTCTTGACACGTACTGAATATGTAGCCACAGAGGCCACTCTGAACACTTTTCAGTCCCTCTAATACGTGTCAGGGCGAAGTGGAGGGGACAGACACTGAGCTCCAAGCCACCAAACTAGAAATGAAGAAGTTTAAGATCACAAACTGTACAATTATCCCCTCCCCCTTTAAAAAAATAAATAAATAAAATTCCTTCCTGGTTAAGTTCAGGTATCCAAATCCTGTCATTGTTTTTGTTTGAATACTGACCAAGGAGTATAAAGTGTTTTGTAGGTATTGTACAACAGAAACTGATATGTAGCATGTAGCATGTCGCTTGTACGCAGCTTTCATAGTAAGATAATTTGTAGCTTTAAATAAAGTATTCATTTTATGTAGCAGCATCATATTGTAGGTTTTGAACGTTACAACAGGTGAATGTAGTATGGTTATTGTCAGAAATCGTTACTTTGTTTCCGTTCAGAAAGGTATGAAATATGAACATAACTAACAGGTTTTTTACTGGCAATTACAGGGGAGTCTCATAAAGTCACATCAGATACAGCTGTACACAAATTTGACGACATTTTGGGTGCAAGTTTTTTTTAATCGATAGCTATCTAAAACAGGTGACCAAACAAGCTTTGGCCTTGTAGACTGACCTAACCAGAATCACTTGAACATAGTCTCTGGTCTCAGATTGTTGGCTAGACACTAGCGCACGGACGGCAAAAGCTTTCGGTGAAGGCAACTTCAAAATGTGATTTTGCAAAAGCCTTAAAACGTCCAGTGCGATACCATTGAGAGTGCCGGTGTCCGTTTGTATGAGATTTTAACGATAGAAAAGTGAAGGCCAGAGCAAGAATGTCTAATCGCAGCCATAATCTGGACGGCCTACCTCACCTCACTATGGTAATCATGCTTTGACTTCCGTTGTGCCTCTGCTGGACGGCGTCCAGAGGGACAGGGCTGGGCACCTTGGCGCCATTTCTGTGTGCTGTTCCGGCAGTCCAGCCGCTTAGGAGTGCATCAGCGTCAGAGCCCGAGTGAGGAGAACTTAGAGGAATGTTTCTCTTTTTTTCCCCACACGACATGTGGCATTCAGAAAATCCTCCGTGTAGCAACAGCTTCCAAATTATTTTATAAAAGAAAAAAACAAAAAAAAAAAAACAGTCAGTTCCAAAATGCAGTATTTCACTGCAAGTTTACATATTTCACCTCAAAGTAAAAAAAAAAAAATGGATGCGCTGAAGTTGCTTTTCAGTTCATTTTTTTTTATTCTAATGTGTATTTGTATTTTGAGCCTGTCTCTCTGTGTTTAAATCAGCTATATTTTAACTTATTTGGATTTTGTGTACTTCCATGTGTAGGGAAGTATTTGTAAACGATTTTGGAAATTACTGAATGATGTATTACTGTACCATCTTTGCACTACTTGTATGCGATGTTAACGAGTCCCTGCCTCATGGCTTTGGGAGTTTCTGATGGTTGAAATTTGGATCTTGGTCCCTCCTAATTAGTAAGCAGAGACATTACAGGGGCAAGAGTAGGAAGACTTGCTCGTACCACTACCTTTGTGGGGGGGATGGTTGGGTAAAGCCGGGAGGGGCTACTGTTCAAACAAAAACAATTTGTTGTGCATGTTCTTTCCTTCCAGAAAATTCCTGGTGGTAGCAGCAATTCTACTAGCTCTCTTTATTTTGTACTTGTGTATTTTCATTTTATCAAAGCCTGTATTATAGACCTCTACAATATATTTTCTGCTAACAAAATAAATGAATAACACTTCCATGATTGTCTGTTCGTCATATTTACTTGTGACTACACCTCAAACAACCTTTATGTTTCTTTACCCAGCGATTAAAGGAACTTAGTGTGACATCAATGAAGTCTGTGGAAGATGGGAATGTCCTGTGCCGTCTATCCCCATTGGCTGAGCCCACCTCCTCCTTGGTCATCCTTGGTTTCTATTGGGTTAAAATTGGCACTGCCTGACAGCGTGCAGTAATCCTACCCACTCTGGGTTTTGTGGCCCATATTAAAGGATCTTTTATTTGTAAAATGCAGTTTGTGTGGCAGGCATGGAATCAAAACGGACACACAATTATGTTACTTCCGTGCAAAACTTCAGGATTATATCTATGATTTTACAACAAATCTTCCAACCCAAAGTCTCCGCCTGTAAGCACTGACCACTACGGCAGGTTCTGCATCAAGACCTGGTTAAAGCACTTTCAGATTAAAATACCTAAACTCCAACATGAATAAACCAACACAAAGAAAGCACTTTTCTGATTGGCTCATCATATACCCATATACGATTGATACCCTCCCCCTCCACCTTATAACTTAAGTCACTCTCAGCTGGACAGAGAACACAGCACAGCAAAGAACACAGCCAATCCAAAACGGTGAAGTCAACTACATTTATTCGGATGGGGTGACAATTTCCTGTTAAAGTGCATCTGTGAAAAGCATCCAGTGGTCTCCATCCAGAGTGAAATCAGAGCATGGAGACATGAGGTAAATTACAGCTGTGAGCCTGACCACCTATTTAACAAGCAGAAACTGAAATCTCACAAAGACCCAACAAAATGTTTTCCTAACGCAGAACAGTAGGTGACACAGTCAAAAAAATGTTTGAGTGCAGTGACAAAGCTGAGGTTTGGCTGTAAATCACTGGTAGACATTTAAAGGGTGGCTGTAATTGCTGACAATCGGTAAATTCAATGTCAGGCGCAGATGGTGTTTCATGAAGCAGCATTGGCATTTGTGTGCGTGTCACCTGTACTGTGGTAAAAAGCCACCCAGAAACAGATGGACTGGAATGACAGCAAGGTGGCCAATCCCGACACGAGGGGGGAGGAACCTGGTGAGAGGGTCCCGCCCCCAAACACTTGTTCATTAAAAAAACAACAAAAAAAAATAGATACCAGAATACAACAAGACCCCCCGACAGTCCAGGAGGGGGCCACTGTGGCGTACCTCTGTCTGAACATACCCCAGTCCGTTTGGCCTTTGCGGTTCTGACTTCAGGAGAAACAGCGCCTCCCCTAGGCCAGCTGACACTCCAGCACAATCACTCCTCACCCCACGACCGCGGCCTTTCTGAGGATCAGTTCTGACCATTACAGGGTGGAGCAACGAGGCGCCCCGTAGCCGCGGGGGGGGGGTCAAACGGGATGAGGCCCGATGTCACAGCTGGTATGTTCGAGCCCGTCTGTCCTGCCACATGGCACACACCTCCGTCATGATCAGTGGAAAGATAAATATCAGGCTGCCTCCGGTCTGTGAGGACATGGACACAAAACAGTTAACCTAGGTGGGGGAGGGGGCACAAGCAGATGAGCGCAGGCAGAGGAAGAGGAACGCAGGCAGAGGGGCAGGCAAGCGGAAGGGCAGGCAAGCGGAGGGGCAGGCAAGCGGAGGAGCGCAGGCAGACGGAGGAGCGCAGGCAGACACTTACCATCACTATGAAGAAGTAAAAAACGCACATCCAGCCCAGCTTGCTCTCGATCAGAGACACCAGATACTGTAAATAACCAATTATTCTTCTTAATTAAAAAAATATCCACAACCAATCCACAGGTCACCTGCTGAAAAGCCACAGAAATTCCTGCAATACACTGAGACTGTAGCTACTCACACACAAACATACCCATGATGCATTGTGGCCGAGTCATGGCCCCTCCCCCTTTAGTACCTGTCCTCCCGCGGCTCCAACGCTGCCAGTTCCGTCCACGATGCCCGTAACGGTGGCCAGAGCCTCCTGACTACCCCGCAGCGCCTCCTGCCTTCCCAGATCGGCGGAGATAGCCGAGCTGATCATGTTGGACGGGCCACCGATGAAAAATCCTGGGGGGGGGTTGGGGGTGGTTCAGGATGAGCATGGAAGCCGGCCTCGCATCGTTTAGAGATGATTAACCCACCTGTCACAGCCAGCAGCACGCCGTTGATCACCTGATCGTCCGGGGAATCTAAACGGGAAGAGAAGGTGATGAAGACAGAAAGCTCCCGCTGGGGCCCAGAGTGATTTCCCCACCTAGTTGGCAAAGGTGGAAACTTCGGGTCCAGAAAGTACAAATCCAGACCAAGGATTTGTTTCAACCAACCAGTTGAGTACTCTGTGACTGTGACTCTCAATATTCAACAGGTTGGTTGAAATAAAACCTTGGTCTGGATTTGTACTTTCTGGACCTAAATTTTCCACCTCTGCTAGTTGGGTTAGGAGCTGAACAGAGCGGACGGGGTGCAGGAAACACTCACGGCTGTATCCCACCAGCGAGCCCATGGCCAGCAGGAGGCTGACGGCCAGCACCGGGGCCCGTTTGCCCAGGATGTCGGAGACCAGCCCCTGGACGGTCCCGCCTGCAGGTGGCGCACACACAGCACGACATTTACCGAAAGATTCCACCCAATGCCGAACGTCACTGATTGGCTGAACGTCTCCATCACTCACCCACAATCCCACCCACGTCGTACCACACGGACAGGCGGTCCGCCTGCTCCTCCTTCCAGCCGAAGTTGTTGCTGAGGTAAAAGGGCAGCCAGAAGAAGAAGGAATAGTTGACCAGTTTCAGACAGGCGTAGGCCAGGGAGTACTGCAAGGAGGACCAACAGACAGATGTTAGTCTCTGTCTGCAAACCTTTAAAGACTAATAAGGTTTAAAACCGACAGGAAAAAAAGACCAACATTATTGTATTGCATCTATCATGTTGTAAACAGTCAGCTTCATTCCCCAGCCTGACAAGCACTGAGGGCATCTTCTCTTACGGGAGCAGTATGACCGTTTGTGTCCTGCGGATCAGCTAATCAGCCACACAGGGGACACCTCCGTCACACCCGTCGCACGTCCTGGACCTCATGTGGTCCCGTGTGTGGCTTCCACTCACCGGCAGGACACCAGGAAGGCAGAAGGCCTTTAGGAATCCGATGGCAGCGGGTGGTTCTTCAGGCCCCAGGTCCTGGTCCGGCTGCTGAATAGAGTAGCTGTTATCCTGCAGCATCCCTTCCTGCTCGTCCTCGTCGTCACTGATGAGAGGCTGGTGGCTGTCCGAGTCCCTCTCCTGGGGAGACTCCAAGGATATGCTGAGCCCTGGGGGGGGGGGGACACATGAGATGGATAAACAGGAAACGCACCCCTTGACAGGGCACTGGCAGGAAAACCAAGCTGTAACCCCCCCCCCCCCCCCCCCCCAGCAAATGCAAGACTCACCCACTTCCTTGGGAGCTGTGAGCAGACCGAAGAAGACGATCACCCCCCCAGCGAACTGTACAGCTGAGGTCACCAGGAAGGCATACTGCAGAACAGCAGCGAAAAGCACCGTCAGGTCCCTATCCCAGCACCCCCCCCTCCCTCCCCGATGACATCACTCCGCCTGCCGCGCAGACTGACCTCATAGCCGTACTTCAGCACGCTGGAGGCCAGGAAGGCGCCCAAGATGTTCCCCACGGAGGCACATGCACTCCACAGGCCGAACACGAAGCCGCGTCTGCGGGGAGCACTCAATGTTTACCCACCCAAGAGCAAATCAAGCCAGGAACGCAAAGTCCCCTAAACAGCAATACTGCCGTAGCGCCGATTTTCAGCTCCGAACGTCGACAGAGCGAAACCACTGGAAAATGTAGCATGTGCGTGACACAGTGCGGGTACATAAGAAGGGTCATGGCTGGAAATTCTCGGCCATTTGACAAAACGTCACCTTGGATCAGGCCCGTAGCCAACAAAATAAAAAATAAAATTTTGCAGGGGGTTTAGCAACCCAACCAATAGGTTCCCCCGCTTCACCATTAAGAAAATTTTGCATGGGGGAGGGGCTGTCAAGCCTGTTATTTTATTACATGGCTACGTGTTTGTAAAATGCTGGGCCCTCTGAATTTGCCAGGGTATCCATGCCCCCCCCAAACGCCCTTATACACGGGTGTGTTTCTGAGCATGTGTGGATGTGGAATCAGGACGCCTAAGCAAAGGCCAGATTACCCCGACTTGCCGAACCAGTTGCCCATGACGGCCACCACACAGGGCCAGACACTAGACTGCAGCAGCCCATTCAGCACCCACAGGACGCAGTAGAAAGGCACATTGTAGAAATGAATCCATTCTGTCAGCGTACCAAACAAAAACTCCTGCAAAGGGGCAGGACAGTGGGGGTGGGGGAGGGGGGACACACCAGCATCAGCAGAGAGAACACCAGAAGCTTCTCACACACCACTCCAGTGCTCTCCAAAACAGAGAAGACGGGGCAAACTGCTTCTTACCACCAGGGCGGAGCCACAGAGCCCGAAGGACAGTACATAACGAAGGTTAAAACGATCGCCAATCACCCCACTCACGTAGAGGCCCTGTGGGATTCAGAGGGAGGGTCTTCTCACTCACTTGTATATGTAACCGCTCTCCTAATCTGAAACTAACACATGTATCTCAAATCACAGTTTGGTACATGAAGGCATGACAGAATGGTGAGGTCATAAAGAACATTTGATTGGATATTGACTAGTCAGTCATGAAAGCATATGAGTCTGACCAATAACAGCGGGACAGGAAGTCTGAGGCATACAAACACAGTACTCATACCCAATACTTACAACAGCGTAAGAGAACAGGAAGATGGTATCTAGCACCCCCAGAAAAAGAGTAGCCCCCTCTGTGTTTTCAAACAGCTTATTTCCTTCCCAGGTCTAAAGAAAAAAAAAAGAAAATTCATGAATCTATGCAAGCAGCTGGGCAATAGACTTAACACAAACAGACACAGGTATATGATGTCAGAACATTACAGTGCATACAGCCACATGGCCAAGTTCACCAAGACTAAGAAAAAGGCATTTAGGGTGGTAAGACCTGCTTAGGGGAGAAGGCAGGTGAGCTGCCATTGAGAGGCAGTGGGGTCCACTGCGCAGAGATGCTGACTTTCACGTTGCTGAAGGTCTTCCTGGAGGCGTGCAGGAGGACATAGCTGGAGAGGTTCGGGAAGACCAACAAATACATTGAACAGCGCCCTCTGCTGCACTCAATCCAACAGTACAGCAAAAATGTTTTGAGGACTGAAAGACAACAGGAGATGGACATTATAAAAGCAGCCACAAAGTTCAGCCATACTACTGTACGGGTTTATGGCTGGAGATCGATTGCTTTGAACTCAAAAGGACCAGTGGCACCATAAGGTGCAATATGATCACTCACAATGTTCTCATATTCCAAAATAATCCCCCATACAAAATGCTAAACAAATTCAAGGGTGGATTCATGCATCTCAGCATCGACTCAAACCTTCCATAGCCTCTCGAGTCTAGATACTACATATAAACATCATGAGGACCATTAAATCCTGATGAGAAGTTCTGGAGCATAGAGGACAAAGTAGATTTCAACCTTCTCCTCTCAAAAACCCGGAGGCGTTTCTTCTAGTAAAAGGATCTGAAATTCCATTACACTCAGACTTCTATGACAGTGTTTCAAGAAGGTCTGATGTTGTTCAGAAAGCAAAGGGTGATCCCACTACACGAGGTCCTCCATATTAATATACTCATGTCATCCACCTCCAGTTTAAGTGCAGGACGTTCATGAAGTACTTGCATGTGGTTCCTACCAACAAAACTCTACAAGCAGAATGTACGCAACTGTTTTCTATAAAGCTAAAGCACCTTGACCATCATTGTTCACACAGCAGAGCTAAACCAAGCACAAGCGGTCAAGTAAACAGCTTTTGTTTTGACTGGACGGTCAGTACAGCTTCTGGAAGTGGGCAGGGTTACGATCAAAAAGTCCAACAGTGGAGCTCTATGGAAGTTAAGAGAATAAAGACCTTTCCTCCAGGGCTCATTTTTTAAATGAGAAGGTGGTAATGGAAGGACTTTCTCCAAGAGTTCTAAGGTGTCTCCCAAGATATTTATCAACAGTGGCTATAAAGCATGAAAACTCAGTGTTTGTGGGTCGTTTCACATAAAACAGTTTAAGCAACTAAGCTCCTGTTTACGCTTCACTTTTAAATGCATCTCGGACAATCGGATCATAAGCAGACAGCAGAGATGCATCGCCGTTGTCACCTGTGTCTGTCAGGGTCTCCAAGGTGTCAGGTTTTATTATTATGACATCCTTGTCGGGGACACATCCAGGATGCATTAGCATCTACACTACAAAAGATATGTGGTCAAATGCATCCCAGACCAACTCGGCAAGTGGTTTGAGTGACTGGATCACAGTGCATCTTGGCGGCTGTTTACACTTGCATTTAGCGCTGTCTACTTGAGATCCATTTTAAAACAAAGTATCAACAGGGTTTAAGTGAATAAGTAACAGGGATAAGCGGGTTTTCTTGGCTACAGCTAAAGAGTGGTTAGCAAACTGCCAACCTGGTTCACTGGTCTGACTGTTTTTATTCAAGTGAGCACAGGGTGCCAACAGCCCGTTAAGAAATCCGGTGGGGGAGGGGCTGCGTTTACCTGAAGAAGGTGAGGAGGAAGGCAATCAGGTGGTGGTGGGTGTACTGTGACAGGAAGCGACAGCAAGGGGGCGACATCACAGGGGTCTCAGGGTGAAGGCACAGGCCCCTATCCTGAGGGCCGGCTGGAACAGGAAAGAGTCCGGGGGGGGGGTAGAAGCATGAAGTTCATCTACAGCAGCAACAGCCTGCACTAACTGGCATGCAATGCCATACTACCTCTGCTTAGGACAGTATGCCAGGCAGTGAGGGTCAAAGGTCACACCAAAGCCAAGCAGGCACTGAACATGCTTCAGGGTTTATAATTAACCCACCATACAACTTCACTAAACAGTTAAAAGCCCAGTATTCACAAGTAATTCATAAGCCACGTCCACTTTCGATTTTGCGCCCTCCTCAGCAAATAACTTCTGTGGCAACTTTTTGCTGGTCACACTCCTGCATGCAATACATACATTACACACATATACACGTATAAACCAGCAGAATAAACAAAGACGATAAATGATCCAGTTCTGCAACAGAACAAATTCAAAGAAGAAATTGCACGGGTCTCAATGCTCAGTCCCAGCCTGCAACATTTCCTTCCGTGGTTATTTAATGCTTAACTAAGGGGTGGGATCAAATTTAAAGGTGTTCTTTCAGAATCTGACCTAATTTCGCAAGAGAACTAACAGCGCCTTAGTTAAGACAAACTACCAAGAAATGTTTATTTATAACGTTGATTAAATGTTTTTAATTAGCCGTGGTCGAAGAACTGAAAAGGGATCCGATTATGGTTAGACAGCCTAAACTGATTATTTATATATTAGAAATATATTGTTGCAACACTAGCATTCGGGTGAAAAGGCAATAAAATCACATTCTGACACAGCCGGTTAAGCTTGTTTCGTTCCATGTTATTGTGGTTATATTGTGTGTCTCGGAAGCCACAATGGCCATGCAGCCGTGCATAAACACTAACGATACGCTCTCATTTGGGGGCGATCTCGAAAGGAATAGGCGTTAAAATGATGAAGAAACAAAGGCAGGGCTGACATGATGCTGGAGCCGACTCCACTTCCTCTCCAACTACTTGTTTTAGTCCGACCGACTATGACGGATCCAGCCCCGAACGGTACGGATGGGTAGCAAACGAGGTCCCGGTAGCAACCATCGGACACTTACCCCAGATCTCCGAACGACGGCGTGTCACCCAAGACCAGCAAATGCGCACTTTTCCAGGCGGTCTGCTTATGCTTCCTGTTAATGTCCCCGATGCACGGCGGGAGGTGTGGTTTTCGAGCCGAAATGCAGGGACCTTGAAGCTGTAGGAGAAGAGAAAAAAAAGGCTAAAAAAAGATAAACAAATAAAAGGCTCTGGCTGTGAGAAGAAACCGTATGGATCGAGGAGTCATTTTAAGAGCTACATTAATGGCTGATTTTATGGAAGGGAGCAAACACGACCATTACGTCATTTTTTTTTTTCAAATAATAAATAAAACGCTAAATATAAGATGACGTCTTAAAATGACCATGTCATATTGCTTATGACACGTATTTAACGAACGGACGCGGTTATACATGCAAATACACATGCCTTTTTATAAGCATAAGCCCAGCATGATGATCCCAGCTCCTGTGGTGGAACAGCGACGTTTAGGAAAAAGCACTGGAATATTTTACACATATCATGTGTTTTTATGGCCCCAATACCCTCCTTCTGGCTTAACACAACACATATGACTGTCACGTCGTGTTTCTGCCTTTTATCATGTCTAAAGAAATATAAATTTTTGCGGCATGCCTAACTATAACATTGCCCACAGAGAAATGCATTCTCTAAAGGGCATCTGTAAAACGTTCACAGCAATTCAATAGTCGTCGGCTTCTTTAATAGCCCCAGGAATCTATACACACGAGGATGTGTATCCTGTGCCGCGTGGGTATGAAAATCTTTTATGACTCTGCTGGGTAGGGGGATACACAAGTTATGTCACTATGCTGAAATATGCGCCCCATAAATAAATCATTCTCTCCATCTGTGCTAGCGTGAAACAGATCCAGCACTGTTTGGTGAAAGCTGCCCCAGTCTGCCCTCTACCCCCGTAATTCGCCCCCCCCCCCCATTCCATAAAAGGCAGCCTAGGCCATTCTGTATAATCGCTTACATTGTCTGTGGTCCCCAGCTGTGCATGGCTCTCTCCGGACTGGGATGAGGAGAGATGTGCTTGTGTGTTCAGGGCAGTACGGCACAGTGTCCGCTCCGAAGGGGATGTTCTACTTGTCCTCACTCTGCCATCCTGCTGAAGTTTCCATCACAGACCTCTCAGGTATGACAAGGACACCTGTAAGGGTGCTTGATTGTCATGAGACCCTCCCCCAAGGTCACCCGTTCTGCCGAGGCCTGAGATTGGGTTTCTGGTGCATGTTGCTATGCTGATATGGGGATGAACGCTAGCGAGGGAAGGTTCTGGATGTTTACTGTTGTCTATAGTCCAAAAGGTCACCTTTTAGAAGCTTGTGTGTACGACAAGCTGATTTGTTCAAGGAGTGGCGATATTTCAATGATGAATATTTAATAAAGAGCATGTTGGGAGCCAACTTTTGATAAGTGTTACTGTTGGGGGAGGGGAACAAATCGTCAGACGATTAAGTGATTTTTCTCTTTTGCCTTTTGTCCTTATCTTAGCAGTAACCGTGTGGTGATTTTAGATACTACAACTCCCAGCATGCAATTGTACCGGTGGGTGGAGAACTGGAGGAGGAAGTCTTACCTGCCAGGACAGGTAGGGTGGGATTTCATTGCGAGGGAAGGTAGGGGCAAAGAAGGGGAGAGAGTAACTTGAGAGAGAGCGAGTGAACGAGAGAGAGAGCGTAAGGCCAACAGTTGTGTAGGGGAAACTTCAGGAAAAACAGGCATTAAACTGTAGAAGATATTTAGAAAGGAAAGGTGAGATTTTGACTATGTTCTGGAAAACCACAATGTTCTGGATCCCCTTCATTCAGGAATAAATGGATCATCTACTATCTGCGAGTGAACGTGTTAGAGGGGAAAGGGACTTTTGACGGGATCTGCAGCTCATTCATCTGTAGGAATAGCGACCGTGACCAGGTGCTGCACCATGCTTTACTGTACGAGGTAGAACAGAAGACGCTGTAAGAAGAGGAGGAAGGACCGGGCTCACGTTAGTGGGTTAAAGCAGCAGAGTTGACAGGGTGATGTTTAGTTTTCTTCTGTTTAGCCCAGGAATTTTCCGGAGACATAAGCTAGCTTGACTACTACTGTAATCAGTGGGTCAGTGATTCTTCAGTTCTCGCCTTCTGGATTAAGGACACACAGCACATGAATATCACACAGGGTGCACTGAAGGGTATTCTAGAATGTGATGGAAATTTGTATTAGGAAGGAGGTGGGATGTTGTCAGATATAATACCTGAATGACTGGTGTCATAACAGGACATTTTCACCTTTTGCCTTCCGTACGGACAAATTAAGTCACAGCGGAGTGCAATAGCAGAGTCCATCTTTCAGCTATCGCTATGCAGTTTGCAGGGTCAGGACAGGACGATTCCTTTGACTTCCTATTTAAGATCATCCTGATTGGGGACTCCAACGTGGGCAAGACCTGCGTGGTCCAGAATTTCAAGTCAGGGATCTTCACTGAGAAACAGCAGAACACCATTGGAGTGGACTTCACTGTCCGGACGCTGGAAATCGAGGGCAAAAAAATCAAGGTAATGTTGAGACCATTCTTCAAAAAACCAATGAGCATCGATAAGCCTTGTGGCGACTTTAAATGTCGTATTTCTGTGCTACAGACTGATAAAGTAAAGGGGTCTTTTTGCACACATTATATTTAATGTAAATTTTCCATGTCCCAAATCAATACTACTTAAGTACCATACAGGTGGTGCAGTGATTGGCACTGTCGCCTCACACCTCCCAGACCCGGGTTTGAGTCTCTGCCTGGGTTCCATGTGTGTGGAGTTAGCATGCTCTCCCTGTGTCATCATAGGGTTCCCTCCGGGTTCTCCGGTTTCCCCCCACAGGCTAAAAACATGCTGGAGTTACCAAATTGCCCGTAGATGTGCATGTGTGAGTGATTGGTGTGTGAGTGTGATGGGTTGGTGCCCCATCCTGGGCTTTTCCTTGCCTTGTGTTCGTAGCCTCCGGGATAGGTTCCAGGATAGGTTCCGGGATAGGTTCTGGACCAACCCCGACCCTGAATAGGACAAGCGGTTTCAGAAAATGGATGGATGGATGGCAAACATACACTCGTGTATTATTATAGATGTGAAGATTTTTCAGCTGGCAAAAAGAGAGGAAATGCCAAGCACTTGGAATTGGAAGAATTGTTTGTTGTATTCCAATCACTCTTTAATGCCGACATTCTTACGGGAGACAGTAGAAGCCTGTAAAACTTGAAAGTGGCCCCTTCTGGCAGGGGTTGATGGTGGACAGGCTCAGCCTGTTTGGTGGAACCTGCTCTCGTTCCATGCGTCAAAGCCCAGGGTCTACAGTGTCGTCAGCAAACAAAAGCCAAGACCGGTAGGAGGCCAGGGACAGTCGGGGAATGTCCTTCAGCTCCCGTGAGTGTGAACGTGTGTGACGTCTTAACAGATATCAGCATTCACTTCCTGTGAAGCAAGTGCTGATGGCATTGTTCTGGAACCAGCTGGGCAACTAAGGTGGGGGGAGAAGAACGAGTGGAATTCCCATTCTCTTCCTTAATGTTTCCGTGTTTGGGGAATGTGCTTAAATTCGGCTGAAAGCTGGCAGGAAATATAGCTCAAGACGTTTTCATTGTAGTCAAAGTTGTAGTGTGGATTTTATAAACAATCCACTTTGTCCAAGTCAGCGTTTCATGTGTCTTCGGGGTAGTAGATGATTCATCTGTGAATCCTGCTATCACTCTACATTATGCAATGAAAGGCTACTGTGTTGATATAATTAGAACATAATTGTATTATTTTAAAGGGTGGGAAATGCAGTGGTAAATGAGGCATAAAACCAGATTCTTCTGCAAAGTCTTGCCAAGAGGCACAGCAAACACATATATGGAATGCATGAGTTTAATTCGTATCTGTGTTTATGTACCTTCAGGGTACTTAGCTACCTGTGTCTTGCTTGTTATTCTTGAATTTCTTCTGTGGCAAAAGGCTGACGCATTCACGTACATGCTGTTTACAAACAGCCAGGGGGTGGGATGGGGGTGGACGGAGCACGCAAGGTTAAAAGTCCGCGTAAGAGTTACTGGGTGTGTGCAGTTGCCATGGAGATGTGTCGTGTAGCACGGAGGCTAAGTGGCTGAGAGACAGACCCTCTGGGAGTTTAAACCTAAGCACACCAGGAAATGAGAAAACAGGCCGTCGGCTTTGCTATGCGTGCTTCTGTTCTTCATGTGCGTTTAGGAGTCTATTCAATGCGACTTGCTCACGTGTAAAACATCGAAACCCCACCTGGAATACAGGGCTAAACGTAGCTACGTCAACATACCTTGGCATGTGACTCTCTGAAACGTGTGTTTTAAAAACACAAGTAGTTGCTGATCAGAAGCAGGGGTGCAGTAGGAGTAGGGACATGCCCAGGAGATTAATTTAATTTTTTTTTTATCGGTAGAAACCCACTTTAAAATGTAAAAAATGGCCTTTTAAGTATCATGTAGTTCTTGCAGGTATTAGCAATTCTAGCGCATGTTATGGGTTAGCAGGATGCTCATGGTTTTGGGACTGAGGGTCTCTCTGTGTCACGCCCACGCAGATGCAGGTTTGGGACACTGCCGGCCAGGAGCGCTTCCGCACCATAACTCAGAGTTACTACCGCAGTGCCCACGGTGCCATGATCACCTACGACCTGACACGCCGCACCACCTTCGACTCTGTCCCCCAGTGGATCCATGAGGTGGAGCAGTTCGGGGCTTCCAGTGTGCTGCTCGTCCTCATCGGTAGGTTGGGTGTGGGGGGGAGGTGGTGTTGTGGCATTTTAGACGGCCGTGGCGAAGTCACCTAAGACCCCAAGGACAGGGGTTGCCTGAATTAATGCTATAACTGTTGGGGTGATATGTAGCTTAGCGAGTTAGGAATGTGTGCCAGTGTCCAGAAGGTTGTGGGTTCAGATCTCATGGCTGGGAGGGTAATAATATCATCACTGGGCCCAGGACCAACACCCTTATGTACTCCAGGAGAACTAGGTACCCCCTGGCCCCAAACTTTGCATATATTGGGCAAAAGTATCTGCTTATTGAATAAATCTAATACAATGTGTAGATCAGGGGATCTGGTCTGGCTGGAATAATGTGGGTTTAAATTCCTGCCTGAGCTGCCCTAGAGATGGTGGGTTTTAGATCAAATTAGTAGCACTTCTAGATAGGATCAGTTTTGATTCAGAGCACAGTGAGGCATCGCTGTCTTACCTTCCTCACGAGGCTTCATTATAACCTCTGCCACCTCCAGGGAACAAGTCAGACCTGGAGTCCCAGCGGCAGGTGCTGTTCGAGGACGCCTGCACGCTGGCAGAGGAGCGAGGCATGCTGGCCGCCCTGGAGACGTCGGCCAAGGAGTCACACAACATCGAGGAGGCGTTTCTGCTGATGGCGCGAGAGCTGATGGCGCGCAACGGCATGATGGTCCAGCAGCAATCGCCGCAACAGCAGTCTCATGTCCTGCTGCGTGCCAACTCAAGGCCCATCGACGGCCCGGCTCCAGCGGAGAGGAAGTCCTGTAACTGCTGAGGGGGGCTCTTTGGCCCACTCACGCTCATCCGACTCCGCCGTCCCAGTGATGGAGAATCCCCTAAACATGGCTGGTCCTAGTTGGGGGGGGAGGGGATGACAAAATATACTATGAATGAGAATTAGTGTGTTATTTAATTTACCGTATGGTCAATTCGTCTTCTTTGAACCAGCTGACAGGATCACTGATGCATGAATGTGAAACAGAGAGAGATGCCAAAATCTAGTCATTCTAAAGAAGCCAGACGCCTTTAAATTGGTGGTGCATGAGGGTTAGGGTCCTGCTGGTTTTTGATTAGTGTTTTATACAGTGAATACCAAGTAAGGTCATTCTCTGAGGTCACAGTTAACAGGCAGGGCAACTATACTCTGCTGTGCTCGTTCCGTTCAAACGCTGCATTGTTTTGTTCTAAGCCTCAAGTGCTGCAAAGCAGAGAAAAGGCTTCAAAATGAGCAGCGCAGCACCTGTTCAGGATATTTTATGGGTCACTTCAAGTTTCACTTCAATAAAAAAACACACACGCTGCGATTCACAGTTCCTGTCTGTCTGGACCGGCATCATGGAACCTGTTACATTTAGCATGGGAATTTTGGTTTTTGTACTTCCTGTACTTTTAATTTATGTAGTGAAATATTGGCCGTATAAAATACACCAATATAAAGTAAAACCATCCCCAATATATTAAAGCATGAATGTAGGAAGAGTTGATACTCACTGTGAAAGATTTAGCAGGCTTACGTGGTACTCAGACGCTCTGTAGTGAAACCGCTTTAAAATGATTATAACTTAGTGAGGTAATTTGTGAAGTCTGCATTTTCACCTTGCAAGGAGGATGAACGCAATTCTATGTATTTCACCACCTTGGATGTAGTCAGTAATTTGGAGGACAATAAGGGGCAGAAGGGTTAAGGTGATTCACAAAGTAATAAACACTAAACGGATGACGAACAAACATTGGTTCTATTGTGTACATGTTTCTGTTTGCCGTCTGTTCTGCTGAACCACTTTCAAACCTGGTCAGTAAATCCAGGCTGATTTTGTACCATCTGCCTGTAGGGTGTTGACAGGATTAAGATAACTGTCCTTTTAAACTGAAAGCGCGAAAGGTAAAGAACAAACGGTACACAACATTTTTCAAACAGGTTTTTTTATAAATCCGTCTGGTGTTGTAAAATCCAACCATAAACATTAAAAGACAAGTATTCCATCAGAAGACAGCTTTGTAAAAAGTACACCAGGCACACAAAACAGTTGGTAGTTTTATGGTATCTTAACAGTCATAAAAGCTCTAGTAATAAAACTAGATGTAGTAACATGTTAATTAAAACACAAATTATCTTGATGCAGAACGCAAATGGACTTTTACACTGAAAACATGGTGATCTGTGTGTGTGTACCCTGTATCTAAATGATTCCACATCTACGGTCTCCGTTTTGAAGACCTTTATTTTATACACGCGCTTGGCTGAGGTGACTATCAAGATGCTTCAGATTAAAGCGTCCATCCAATGACGGAACGTTAATGCAGAGGGCAGGCAACAGGTCACCACTAGGGGTCGCCACCGCGGAGGCCCTATTCCAGTTGACAGCCCTCCTGCTTGAAGACGAGCTCCACGGCTTCCTGGACGTCCTGAACCACAAAGGAAGGATCTGCCAGGCTGGGGTCGAAGCGGAAGTCACGGTGGCCATGGAAGACGCGCTCCGTGACAGCCTGCAGCGGGTCGGGCGGGAGGTCCTGCTGCTCGCGGCTGTAGACGCCGGTGCACACTAAGATGGAGCGGCAGCTTTCTGGTAGGTGCCCCCCTCCTTGCGAGCCCCCTAGCTTGGCCCCGCCCACCACGCCTCCCTTAACTTTAGCCTTTGTCTGGGCCTCGCGCGACTCCTGCAGGTAGCGGTTATATAGGTTAGCTCCGTAGATGTCCGCCATTGGATTGTCACTAGAAGAAGGAGGTGAAAACACATCAGTTCACAATCACAATCAGGCATGCTGGGGGGGGGGGGGGGGCTGAACACCTGCCCGTTTTGCCCGAACTATTTAATATGAACTTGTGCATGAGTTTTAAAAGGTACCAAGTGCCCTTTTAACCTTTGGGCACCTCTCGCTCAAAAAGTCTCTACATAACCCTGATCTCTGCAATATTTCATAGCTTGGGAAACATTTCAACCGGAGCCAAGTTATAATTGCAATTTAGGGAGAGAACCTTTCTCAGCTGCATATCTACAGAGTTTCTGAGACTGCAAGGGGCTCAAGCCCCTCCCGTTTCTACAGAATATACCAATGACATTTTTCCGGGGGGCCCAGAATTCCTTGCTACGACCCTGTTTATACCAGCACCTTAGTGTTGTTAACCACTATGCTATTGGTGACCATCATACTTTAGATATGATGCATGTTTTTTTCCAAGAATGTTTGGAAGAGGGATGTCCTGCCAGTGGCTCACCCTATGGCATAGAGCCGCTCCACAGGTTCTGTCCAGCCCAGCTTCTCAGCCTCCTGCCGAATCAGTAGCTCCGCGTAGTTGTATGTGACCAGACTAGGTTTGCCAATAAGGGCCTCATACTTCAGCTCACACCCTGTGATCTTCTTGTAGATGTTCTCCAGGCACACCAAGAACATGCCGTGACCAAACCTGAGTGAAGAAGGGGAGAGAAGGGAGGAGAAAATCATGGGAATGATGCTGGATGCTGTCGGGCACATCGGTGTGCACAGGGGATCGCAGAAACACTAAGGGCATCACGCTGACCTGGGGTTCCTGGCTTCGGCCATCCACAGGAGGTCCATGTTGCAGGCCAGTACAGGGATGTGAGGGTACTGCAGTGAGCCCACAGCGTTCCCCGGCTTCCCGTGGGTCAGGAGAACATCAACAATCAGCTGCAGGTTGGTCTCCCATCGGATTGGCTCCCCAAAAAGGATCACAGCTAGCAAGGCCCAATCAAATGAGCAGGAGAAGTAATTAGCAAGCAAAACTTTTAGATATCAACTATTATGCAAATGCGAAATGGTTATGATTGACAGGAGAAGTGTCACCTTCAATGGGAGGTAGGTCTTTAGATGGGGGTATCTGTAAGACATAACAAAATTTACTCTGTAGGTCAAGGGATTCAATTCAATTTATTTTTATATAACGCCTTTCACAACAGAATCGCCCAAGGCATTTTGCATGGGTGTGTTACTTCAACATCATTAGGGATCACCAGTACAATGGCTAACATAAATAAACCCAACAAGAGAATACATGAAATCTGAAACCTTAAACTGTGCCTGTGTAAGCATCAAATTCCTTAGTAACACCAGGTATCTTACCGTGCCCTTCGGTCTGCGATTGTGGTCAACCATATCCAGGAGCGGGTAGGCTTCCCTCAACATATCCACAGTCACCACGTTTTGGAAGCCCATACTGTGAGGTTCCAGGAGTTAAGGGCAAACTGGGTACACACCGCATGCACAACGTACACAAACAAACAGATCCTAAGAAAGATTTGTATGAATACAAATGACCCTGAACACTACATGGTCCCTGAGCACAAGTGCTCAGCTGAGACCGGAAACAATGCAGGAAGGGATACTTTTGGGCCACTTCCATGATTGGCCCCTGTCCCGACACCAGCACATGCTTGCTGTGGAACTTAGTGAAGATCCGTAAGGGACTGTGAGACAGTATCACCTGGTCCGGAGACACCTGTGTGGGAGGGGATTATGAATGACAGGTCAAAGTGGCTCCATTCTGTGTACTGAGGCCATTAGGCGCTTTCACACCGAAATTCCGGAACCTAGTTCCTGTTTAAGTCCCTGGGCGAACCTGGAATTTTTGTAGCTCCTGGCCACTTTTGTATGTTCCCACCACACAAGAGGAACTGGGACCTTTATGTTAAATAAGCATGGGAGACACAAAAAGCTCGTAGGTTAAACTTCACATATAACTTCATAAGAAACTGCACCCCCATGCCAAAACAACGGAGAATAAATAAGCCATTTTGTTAGTTATTGGGGGGATTGATCGTGATCAAAACAGGACAGAGCCTTTTATTTATATGACCTGTGACATGTTTATAATTCGTATCAAATCTGGCCAGCAAATCGATCTTTCATTTTCCACAGAATAAAAACGATGTAACGTTATCCTGCTAATAAGCTTGCGCTGGCAAGCTTCACCACCACCATTGCCCACATTAGACAAAAACCTATCGGCAATCAATCACATTTTGCAAGCTAAAAGTGTATTGATGCATAAAATGTAACTGAGGTAAAAAAAAATAACTATCCGCTCAATTTTTATTCAATGCTACTTCTCTTTTCCCTACTGCATAACTTCCAAGTTAGCGCCAGTGCTTGTGGTCAATCAGTCAGCAAGTTCAACGCGGTAAGAGCCTCCCCAGTAGTTCAGGTTTGAAGGAAAAGTACCTAGTTTAGAATAAGGACTTAAAAATAGTTCCAGAACTGCCTCCACTGAACTACAATCGGACTGAATCCCCAGAGAGAAGGGTCTGGCTGCAGAACACTGAGCGACCTCCAAAAGGAGGACCTTCATTGTGGGGCCAGAAATCACATGACCTCCATATCTGGGCCGGATATGACCCTACTGAAGAGAACTCAGAAGGCTGAACACATGGGTAGATAGCACCTTAGCCATGTCTGAATTCAGGGGCCGCATCCTTCTAAGGCTGCGTTCAAAGACCGAACATGATACAGTAACATGACAATGCTGTCCCATTCCAATGACTCCTTCAAAGGCGGTCTAGGAATGCATCCATTTTTTTGTTGGTTGTGAAGGATCTACCTAATGGATCCTTTGTAGTCCAACATATCCCAAGATTCATTGTGTGAAACTTTGAAGGATGAAGCATAGAAAGGCTACATAGACCGCCTCCTTCGAAAGATGCAGCCCCTGAATTCAGATACAGCCTGTGTTTCCATTAAAATTATGAAGACGGATATGTCTCATAACATCTTAAGCTACATAAAGGTGAGAATTTCACACTGAAATAGCTTATTTAAAATAGACTATTAAGCTACATTCCTGTAGATATAACGAAGTTATTAACAACTGTTCCCGATGCACTAATATTATCGAAATAGCAAATATATATTTTAAAAGAGACGATTAAAGTCAATTCCTAATGTTGCACTAACACCGTATCTAGCGCTATTGTGGAGATAAGACCCCCATTCCTGCAGTTTGTATGACGTCATGTCCTGACCAGACCCACAGTGGAGATTCGCCTAGTAGAGTTCTCCCAGTATTCTGCATCCAGATCCAGTTGTTGGGACGGTTTCGGAAATAGGTTCTGGTTCCTGGAAAAAAGTTTCTACGGTGTGAAAGCGCCTATTATGACACACGGACATTCTCCTCTAATGTCCGAAGAACACAAACATATTCCTCAGTGTAAATCATGACATTTAAATCCAGTCCCAACCGGTCATCCCATTTCACTGCCCCTCGCTCCTCACCTCAACTTCCAGCATGTGGGAAAGCTGTTCAGCCTTGGCCTGCCGCATGCAGTTCCCGGCATTAGTCACAAAGACCACCGGCACCCGGTACTTCCCATTCCTGTCCACCAGGTTCCTGAAACACTGCTTGGCGGCAGGAATCGGTGTCCGTCCACGGGCTAGAACCCCGTCGATGTCAAACAACAACCCAAACGAGGTTTGGTTCTGTTAAGGCACGAAAAGCGACCTTTGTGAAACTGGATCACAAGGATTCCCCATATGGCAGATGGTCACCAACAGTAAAGAGTTATACACATGGATCTGTGTTCAAAGTCTTTTCCAGATAAGTCACCCATGGAGTAATGGGTCCACATTCTACCCAAGGGACACTAAACCACATTATGTAACTAAAAAGCTCTTCAGGTAAAAATTAATTATCTGTTATAGTAGACTTCAGTATTAAAGTTCTAATGTCTTATGCTTGCGGAATGACACAAAACGTATAAAAAGATCTGCTAATAAAT